ACGGAAAGGAGGTGGGAGAAGGTGAGGGGCGGGCATCCTCCGCTCGCTGTCTCTGTCATCATTTGTTCCCTTGGATAGATATGCGTGCTTTGCCGTTCGTTAGTATGTTTTGATTAGCCCCCTCGTCCCCCGGCCCCGCCAGCTCATGCTGTTCCCCTTTAATAGTAGCCTGACTAGCTTCGGGGCTTTGGACTCGCTCGTGCTTAAGTCGTTGTTTTCGCCATTATTGATCCCGTTTGTTATCCATCTGGGCTTTAACTCTAGGGGTTTACGTCTGTGACCCTTAGGTTTGGTTCTCCTTTGTTTGTTTGCCATACGCGCCTCCGTGGTTGCTCCGTTTGAGTTCTTTTCACTTCCCGGCCTCCGTTGCTGTATCGGCTTTTCATGGTCTCTCATCTCTGCCTCGACCTGGCTGGGGGTCCGCCGAGGTGCCTCCCACCTAGCGCCCGTCTGTCGCTCAGTGGCGCAGTGTGTTCTGGGGTCCTGAACGGTCTCCTGTCTTGGCATTGGCTCGGTCTATTCTTGTTATCTCGCCTGCCGGTTCTCCCCTTGTCCTATGCACCTGGGTCTCACCTTTTGTCTTGACCCGACCGGGTGGTGCCTCGGTAGTGTCCTGTGGCCCGGTGTCAATCATTTGATGACCTCAGGTGTTTCCCGTGTTCCGGATTGATTTCGGAGGTGCATCGTGGACTTTTCCTTGCGCCTCTAGTTTTCGGTTTCTCCAGACCTGGACTTACGTTTCGGTTTAGTCCCTTGGTTTGTGCAGGTCGCTGGCGTCGGTCTTTGGAGCGGTTTTGTGTTGCCGGGTGGTCCTTACTTTTCTGGCGCAGTGTGAGGCGGTTTGGGACCTTGCATTTTCGTTAATCTCCCCTGCTCGTTGTTTGTTTTCGCCCCCCTCCTTTTCTCGTGCCGGGCTTGTTTTTGTAGTCGCTGCCTCAGCCCTTGCGTATTGTGTGCATTTTTCGATGAGGGGCATAGACAGTCGGCAAACGGAGATTGGTGGTTTTTGATGTTTGGTTGTGTGGTGGTTGTTTGTGGTGGCTTGTTGGTTTTGGCATTTTTTTCTGTGTCTTTTGGTCCGTTCGTTTGCTAGTTGCGGTGGGTGTGGTTTTGTCGGCATCTGGTTGCTATGAGTCTTTAGACCTCCGTCGTCCCCTCCTTGGTTACTCTTATCACTTTTTCTCGGTGCCATTGCGGTCGCTTTTACTTCCCCTGGTTGTATGCGGTCTTGTCCTTAGTCACCCATCGGTCCTCGTCTTGGCTTGCCCCGCTTGCTCCCTTTCGGGTTCTCCTGCCCTTAGTCTCATGTCCCTGCGCCACATCTTTGTTTTGGTTTTGGCTTCCTTCGATTCGTTGGCTCAAAGCCGGCGTCCGCTGTCGTTCGTATTTTGGGCTTGCCGTTGGCGACCTTCGCAAGCTTTCTCCCTTCTGACGCTAAGGGTTGCCAGTGGCGCATTTCTTTTCAAACTCGTTCGCGGGGCGGTCGTTGCTTCACTTCTTCGTCGTTGTTCGCTGTCTCTGTGTTTTCTCATGCCGCCCCTCTTTTACCACCGCTCCGCTTGTGCTCTACCGTCTTTCTTGGATGTTCTTCCGGTGGGGAGTTGAGCGCTACCAGCCTGCCCTGCTTTGGGTCCGCTCCCTGTTTGAATTCCTATAGTCCGTCCGCCGTGCGACAGCCACTGGTCTAGCGTGCCCTAGTCCATTCTGAGTCCCTTTCAATGTCCCCCGTTCTGCCGGCGCCCCTCTCCCTTCCTCCCTAGGTTCGCCACCTACCCCCGTCACTGCCTTCGCTCCTTTCTGTACAATTGCTTTGGAATTAAATCTCCAATTCCTTCTCTTATATCGTTGTCGTTTTCCCCTCTCATTGTTTCTCTCGTCGAAGTTCTCACTTTCCTTCAGGGTGGAGCGGTTTTAGGCTACCCTTTGTTTCTTCCTCTCTTTTTCTCTTCTCCCCGTAACAACCATATCTGGTATGTGGGCTTCGCCTCCTTTGTGGTCGGTCGCGCGCTCGTTGGTCTTGCTCGGTGTGGATTTTAGGTCCACCCCTCCTGTGGTCTGGCTGTGAGGGCTGTCAATTTAACTGCCCTATTGTGTGCTGACAGATGCCTATCGTCTCATGGGATTTCCCTGGTATTTAGCAGGCGTTATGCTACTTTTCATATTCGACGCGCTGCTCCCTCCCGCTTGTCTTCGGCGCATTGAACGCCGTACCGTTTTTTCCCATTCCAGGGCACCTCCTTCCCCCTTTCTCTGTTCATCGGTCCTCGACTTGCAAGCGCAAGCTCGTAGCTTCTCTGCCCTCGCGTTTTTGCTCGCTCTCGCCGTTCTCCTTGGTCGTAAACATTGCGCCTTTAGGCCGACCCCTTGAGATCATCACGTACGCCCTGTCCCATGTCACGCGGCCCCCTTCTAGAGCAATTCCCCCAACCCTAGAAGGCACGCTGCCCACTCGAGGCCTTGTTACCTATGGGGTGTGGGGTTTCGGCCGCCTGTGATTGCTGATTCATCTGACTTTAGTCGTCTGGTACCTCTTTCGTGCTTGTATCCATCTGGGGTCCGCAGAATCCCGCTGGCGGTTTCCTGCCGGCCATAGGAGAAGGCTTTGTGCTGGCCCTCGTGGTGCATTCTTCGGTCGGTGAGCGTGGGCGGGGATGTTTTTGGTGGTTGTTGGGCTTGCTGTTGTTGTGTTGTTGGCAGTAACGTAGCTAGTTGTAGTGTCGTCTCTTCCAAGAAAGTGTAGGCTGTAGTCAGGTAGCGAGAGAGAGTCGGTAGTCGGAGAGAGTGGCCAGAACTGACGGCCGCTGAAGCTCCTCCAGCCATGGCCTCCCCCCGCCCCTCGTCTCCCGACTTCCACGACAAGAAATGTGAGCTGATTCCCTTCTCTACTTCTTTCAACTATTTTTAGTAAATAGGTTCTGAACTAAAAATACGCGTAACCTAATAAGGAAGTGCAAAAACTACAATTTCCGCCCCACAGAATTGTTTCGTGAGAAAGGGGTTAAATTGTATTTTGCTGTGTTATGGTGGGAAAGGGGTTAATTTGATAGCATAGTAGTTGAGGGGTTAAAGAGAGAGGGTTAAATGTCGTGTGGTTGTCTCTGGTGTGTAGATATGATGTTCACCAGAAACAATGTCCAGAGAGCTGTCAGGAACATGAGGAATACTGGTGTTCTGGGGTCCTATTTGGGTGTCCCTTGGTGGAGACAGGTGGAAATTGGGAGTCAGTTAAGAGATAAGGGACAACTGGTGGAGGAATATGTCACCTACTTCATGGACCACGACCCACTAGCCTCCTGGAGATCAGTTATTGTTGTTCTTGATAGGATGAAAAGGTTTGGAGAGAAAGAGGCTGCAGATAAGATACGACATCTGGCGGAGTCTGTCACAGGTGAGGAAAAGAAAAGTGCCTGAGGTTATTTGTTGTTGTGGTCGTCTTGGAAACGATGTATCTGACATGATTACTGATGTGTGTATTGCCATGTTATGTCCTACTCTCTGTGCAGACCCCACACTCACTATCAACAACCTCCGTCGCGTCACCTCTTCAGTCCAGGACTGGTATTATCTGGGGCACTATGACTCTGGTCTTGGTGTTCCTCGTCCTGTGCTGTATGAGATCAGGAGGATCCTGCCCTGACAGAGGAGGAGAAGAAAAACAAAGGTCCTACTCTACTTCCTCCACAATGCCCCGATGGCCTCCTGGGAGAGAGTTGCAGGAGCACTGTACTCCATGGAGGAGGAGAGGGCATTACAGGCAGTGAAGGAGTTCCTGCGAGTCTCACCAGGTTAGTCCTCTGTGTCGTCATAACCTCGCCGTCCCTAGCAGCAGCTATGTTCTCCCGTGGTTACCGTGACCTTTGACCTTCAGTAGGAATCGTTCCGTTTTCCGTTTGCCGTTTTCCGCTTTCCGCTTTCCGCGGCTGTATATAGTTTTGCCTCGTGTATCCTTTCGTCCCGACTGTCCCGTCCAACGCGGTCCGAGTCGTTTATGCGCCTTGACTGCCGCCGACGGCAGCGATTAGCGTTCGAGTTCTTTAGCGATCTGGGGTTACGCCTACTTTAAAAAAACGCGTCCCAGGGCTTCTCCTTGTCGTGAGGAGGCGGCCTAGAGAACGAAAAACGCGTTTGAGAAAACGGAAGGCGTTCCAGCGAGGCTGGCTTTCTTCGAGGAAAAGCGGCACTTCGACTCCGCGTGGTATATACGCGCACGGTATGTATATACGGAACGGAACGGTATGCGTACGATGTGGAACGCCGTTCGTTAACGTTACACCCCAGTTTAGTGTGTTATGGTAGCAATCGTTACTTGCATGAAGCACAAAGACTTGCCTGGCGTTGTCAACAACCAGCAGCTTGTTACACAAGAATTTCTCTCTCCTGTTGTGTTCCCAGAGGCCAGTCTCACTCCAGAGAACCTCTCCACAGTTCTAGACATCATGAGTGACGCTCTGTGGAGGAGGTTTGGTGAACTTGCCAACATACCAGGTCTGAGTTGGACAGGATCAAGGCACAGTGTACCAGTGACAGAGAGTGCAAACAGGCCCTCATTCTCTCCTTCATCTCCTCACATCCAGCACCATCCTGGACTCTGGTGGCAAGGGCTCTCTACATGACTGAGGGTGACGAGGGTGACGGCAGTAGTCTCAGAGCATTGGACCACTGCAGCAGCTGTTCCCCACTGGTACAGTGGACTTTTTGGTTGGTTTACACTCCCTTCAACATGTTCACTTTACTCCATGCAGGAAGATTCCGCTCCAAGAGACTACGATCACGAGCAGGATGATGAAACGAGGCCACAGTGAGCTGGACCTGGACAAAATGCTGCTGTTTGGCACGGCTGGCAGTGGGCAAGACGTGCTCCCTCGCTGCACTGCTCGGAGTGGACCCCTCCCACCATCCGACACAGCACTCCAGTCTGATGAAAAGACCATCGAGGTCGTGTTCGTGGACGTAGACGGCAAAAAAACAGTGAAGAAACGAAACATTAGACAAATGCAGACGTCATCGATGAAGTAATGCGGTCGCGATACTACGGCAACAGTCAGTGGCACAGAGCAGTGGTGTCAGCCTCCCCCGACCAGCAGTCTCCCCACACCGCAGCCAGCCAGTCAGCTCAGCCAACTCCAGGGAAGAGGAGTAGCTCACGTCAGAAGCAGACGGGAAGAGCACAGTATCCTCGAGGAGAAGCCAGCGCCAGGAGCGGCAGGAGGCAGAAGGAGGCTGGATCCTGCTGCTGTCGAGTGCGGTGGACGAGGGGTTTGAATCTCATCAACAGTGCTCCTCCCTCCTAGAGCCATCCTGCGACTGAAGCAGTTCCTCGTGCTGGACTCTGGCGGCCAGCCCGAGCTTCTGGAGATGATGCCGTCTTCCTGAGGGGTGCGTCCAAATTCGTCTACGTCTTGAAGCTCCACGAGTCTCTTGACAAGACGAGCGACGATCCGTTACTTCAAAGACGGCAAGCTAGTGTGGGAGTACCCAGCCTACCTGACCAACGAAGGGACCCTGAGACTGTGCGTGCGGACCATGAGGTCCCTGAACAACAAGAACCCGACATCCCTCCCGCCAAAATGATGTTTCTGGCCACCACCGAGACATGGTGGCAGACGAGCAGCTGCCCGGAGTGCTGGACACTCTGCACAAGAGGCTGAGGGAGATCCTCTTGCCTCAGTTCAGGGAGCAGCTCATCTACTGCGATACGAAACGGGACGACTTTGTCTTCACACTGAATGCAGCAAAGCCGGAGAAGGAGGACAGGGAGTGTGCGGAGAGCATTCGGGAGTGTCTTAGTAAGGAGGGGGAGGGGGGAAGGGAGGTGAAAGTGCCGTTGCGATGGTACGCTCTGTACCAGAAGCTGCTGGAGGTGGCAAATGAACTGGGGAAGAAGGTGCTGCCTCGAGAGCTTGCCAGAAGGTGGCAGAGTCGATGGAGATGGATGACGAGTCGTGTGGGGAAGCCCTGAACTTCTTTGACGGTCTGAACATGCTTTTCTACTTCCCCGACATCCTGCCCCAGCTTGTGTTCATGGAGCCACAGATGTTGCTGGATAAGGTCTCGGAGCTGGTGGAGGAGACCTACCACATGAGGCAGGGAAAGAAAGCGTGCGGGGGAGAAGCTGAGGTTCCGTGACCACGGCGAAGTGACGGAAAAGTTTCTGGGTGAGTTCGAGAGCCACTACGAGCCACCTCTGTTCACACCCAAGGAGCTGGTGACCCTGCTAAAGGGGTTGCTGGTGTTTGCGGAGATGTCGGAGGACGTGTACTTCATGCCGTGTCTGCTGCAAGTGGTGGCGTGGGAGGTGGTGGAGGAACACCGAGTGAGTGGCGGGAAAGCCCTGGCTCTTCACTTCCCCGACAGCGGTCCCCTGATGGGAACGTTCTGCTCCACTGTAGCTTACCTCCTGTCCCCCGAAAACAGTCACCCCTGCCCCTGGAGAGTGGTTCAGAACGAGGCAGGAGCTCCGGAATGCCTCCATCGCAACGTCATCGAGTTCACCGTTTCAGACTACGCAGGCGCCGTGTCACTCGTCGATCACTTCACCCACTTCGAACTACACATACACACCGCAGAGGACCACGAGGCCGAGCTGTGGAAACTGGCACACGACGCAGTGTTTGCAGGTCTCAAGAAAGCAGGGAAGACCATCGGCTACACAAACAACACTCCAGTCCCAGCCATCGTATGCCCCGCCCACCCCCACCCAGCCAAACCCCACCCTGCCACCGTTAAGAAGGGATGGTGGACTTGCTCAATCAGCTCCAAAAACTTTGGAAAGTTGCCGAGGTCTCAGTTCCGTGGATGTCTGTCTGCACTAGTCACTGTGAGTAATGAACAAGTATAATAGGGCTGTATGTCTCATCATCAGTCATATATTATGCTTTCTCTTCTTTCCCCCTACAGCTGCTGAGTCAGCCACGTCCTCTCTCTCCTCTTCATCTTCTGCAGTTCCCCCCACCTCCCAGCCTCCCCTCTCTGTCTCCACAGCTCCTGCCTACTCTACCACTGCCAACACTCCTGGTGGGTCCTTGCATCTCTATGTGCCCTATTTTGATACTCATTCTTTCATTCATGTTCCTCTACAGTGTCAGAGTGTTCCACTGTCTCCTCCACTACTGCCTCTGTTCCCTCTCTCTCCCTGTCCTCTCCTCCTGTCTCCACTACCACTACCAACACTCCCACCAACACTCCTGGTGAGTCCTCTTGAACATCAGAGTTTGAGCATCTCCTGATTTCCTCGTTACAGCAATCATGAGAAGAAGAAGGAAGACGATGGGGTCAGTGATCGGACCTGCAGTAATTGCCAGGGACACCTCACACTGATTGGGAGGAGAACCTCCCAGCCATTCTGGGACTCAACAGGCTCGGAGAGAAGGAGATCGCCAACTCTTAACCCGAGCAGACTGACGAGGAACAGAAAAGATAGAGGGAGTGGTCGGGAGGTGCGGGAAGGAGGAGAGGGGGAGAGAGGCCACGTACACCGAGCCATTCATCTCTGGCCGCAGAGGAGCGAGGACAGCGTTGGCTGACACAGCAGAGACATGTTAGAACGAAGACGTGAACATTATACCACAAACCACCACTGTCTGTGCTAACACCACTGTCTGTTTCTCCTTACCATCCGCATTCACTGCACACTACACAAAGGCTCCATCCATCCATTCTCATTTCCATTCTGAAACATAATGTTCCATTATCAGAATGCGCGTCGTGCCCCTCACTACCGCATGCGGCGCGTAATTGGCGAAGAGTGATGCTAGCGCGTTGTACGATGCGCAGTGAGAACCTTCATCGTCGGGTCCAGCAGTAGATATGAACGTTATCCCATCTCCACTCATGGCCGGCGTCTCCATGTCTCCTCGTCAACACGCTAGTGGCGACGCCGGCGCCAGCCGACAACTGAGTGTGGCTAGAATCTTCTCAGACGCGAATGGAGAGACCACTCGGCATTCTTTCACCATCTCCATGGCGGGCTCTGGTATAACTATACGAGTTGTTACGAGTCTGTCACAGATGAATAGACGCAGAGGAACGGGAGAGACGTTCTGCAAACGAGGGGACAATAATACTGAGAGAGGCTAAAGCAGGGCCGACGATATGTGTGTAGTGTGACTTTTAGTGTCGATTTTCGTTTAATTTCTCTGCAGGAGACATTGGGTACCTGTCAGAGAAAGTGAGGTGTCTGTTCAGAGGCCATAGGAGTCCGACATACCCCAGCCACATATGCCTATGCTGCACAACGCTCTCGCAGCAAGTCCTCTTGATCAGCTACTCTCTCACTGTCTCTGAAACACCGTCATATGTCTCCTGTCCGTCGCTCTCTCACTGTGTTTTTGCTTGCATTGTTGTGTTGTCATCTGTAGCTAGCCTTATTCTCGCGGGTGGCTATTCTATTCTAAGTTCATATTCTCTCCTTCTCTTTATGCAACTCTCTCTTACATACGGTTCTTGCTGAACTCAGTTTTGTATTATCACCTCTCTCCCTGTCCCTCTGCCCCGATATTTCCCCAAGTCAGACAGTTCATAGTCAATCTAGATGGAGATGTGGAGGTTGAAGTCAGCAGTGGAGAGAAGAGAGTCATCACACGTGGTCAAGTCTTCTTTGTTGAAGATATCACAGGTTAGTGGTCTGTGTAGTAATTGATGACGAGTGAAGTAAGCCTACCTAGTTGCTTGAATTCGGGAATTTTCTAATATGTGACAGGGAACTGCAACAGGCAAAATCTGTGCGAAATATTTGCTTCACTCACCAAAATGCATTCCCCTAGTATGATTGTTCATGTTCATGTCCTATTGATTCCGCTGATTGCTCTGGGGGCGTGGTCAATGGCCAAAGTGCTATGGCTGCCACCAGAGAGTTATTCTCTCTCCCTCTTCCCTCTCTCCCTCTTCCCTCTCTCCTCTTCCCTCTCTCCCTCTTCCCTCTCTCCCTCTTCCCTCTTCCCTCTCTCCCTCTTCCCTCTCTCCCTCTTCCCTCTCTCCCTCTTCCATCTCTCAGGAAAGGGACATTACTCCAGATCAGTAGACGGGAGGCCAAGACACTCCATATTCATCCCAGTTCCAGATGACTTTGTAGCTCAAGACTGCTAGACCACTTATTCACACATTGCTTCCTAGTCGTTTCATGCTCACTCTTAAAGATGTTTCTCATTTGTTCTAGTTTTATTTGAATACCATTATAACGTCCCCCGACTGGTCCCCACACGAACTTAGGAACTCGTCCTGGTGGTGGAGAGAGAGGGGTTAAAAGTTGACCAGGTAGAGAGAGGGGTTAAAAGTTGACCAGGTAGAGAGAGGGGTTAAAAGTTGATCAGGTAGAGAGAGGGGTTAAAAGTTGATTATTGTAGTCATAATCCACAAGTTCGTTTCGAATGTGGCAATTTTCTACATTGTGACATGTGCTGTAGATTCTAAAAGCAAAAAATCGAACTGCTGTCTTCACTTGCCAAACCTCTAGTATAGTCTGTGATGATTGTTGGTGTGTGGATGCAGTGGGAGCCAGCAGTGGTCTGGATGGTGGTATCAGGACATGGGACCTCACCACAGGAGAATGTGTCAGGAGTATTGACGGAGGTCCAGTGGATGTGTGGACACTCACCTTCTCCCCTGACTCACAGGTACACATCTCGTATCCAGACTCCTCTGAGGTACAGTGGAACCTCTCTCTTAGGACACCCCTGAAATGAGGACACCTCTCTAAATTATTCTTTCCCCAAGAACAGTTCTTGCATGCATTTTAACCCCTGAAATAAAGACCAACTCTGCTTCCATGGCAACAAAGACTGTTTCCAAGGCAACCAAGGCTAACTCTGCTTCCGTAGAAACCAACAGTGCTACCGTGGCAACCAAAGATGACGGAACTGGTTTATCAGTGGCACCAGAAGGGACGACAGAGGACGATGGAATGGTGGAAATGACAGGAGGACATCTTTATTAATTTTATTCAAATTGTGTGATAATAGTTAGCGAGGTGTTGGTGGACGCATGTTTCAGATGTAGCCTTTGCTCTTGCGGTAGTACTGGTAGCTGTCATAGACATTCTGCTCCAATTCCTGGATGACGACAGGATCCAGCACTACAGCTGGTTTACCGTCCTCAAATGTGTGGACCCTAGGATGATACCTGAGGGAGGGGGAGGGGGGAGAAGGGAGGTACTAATAAGAATTGGAAAGGGACCAGTGTGCTATATACTAGAAGAAAAACAATTTCCGGGGGTGCATGTTGTCTGAAAGAAAGGGGTGTTTATGTACAAAAGAATGAGCACAGAACTAGAAGATAACCCAAATCAAGAGAGAGAGAGATTAGCGTTTGTCCTATTCTACTGTACCTCCTGTTCTCGTCCACTGGTCCAAACAGGTAGCTCCACTCGTGGGAGTAAACCCAGAGTGGGTGGACAGAGAACACACACAGGGCCGGGTACGGAGGATCCATCTTCTGAGCCTTCTGCTCACACCTCACCACCGTCAGCTTTGTCATCCCCTCGTCCGACGAAGAGAAATCCGCGTCTTTGATTCCATAGCGACGCTTGCTGCTGCGACACAGCATCTTCCTCAACGTCTTTGTCATTTCCTCGTTGTTGCTAGGGTCGAGGTACGAGATGCCCGTTGCCAGGGGATATATCTTGGTCTCCAGGTCCTCCTCCACTCCACACAGGAGTACATACGACTTGTCCTCCGACTGGGGTGGATTACATCATCATGATGTAAGGGTAATTTACAACAGCTTCATGCTGCCAGCTCAGATTATGTATAAATGAAAAGCACTAAAGTGCAAACCCTCGGCGAACTGCGCATGCGCGGTACCACTAATTGATGGGCTGGGCTTTTCTTTTGTTTACTCGTTGTATCCCGCTAGTAGCTCGCGGAGAGTCTGGCACGGGCTAGCTACAGTAGTAGATTGCATGCGGGAGTCGATACATGCCCTTCGTTGTGACTTCTTGTGCCTTCAAGATACACAGAGCGAGCGGACGCGGTCGAGGTAAGCCTGTGCTAATTACCATATTGGCTTGTTCACTTGGTTTTCACGCCATAACTTTAGAACGCAGTAATTTTACGAAAATCACCTTTTTTGAAATCAACCCAGTGTAGCACTGAACCCGATCATATCGCTATTTACCTGATTTCGTGCGCGTGGTGGCAGAAAACGTGGTAACAGACAGAATGACAGACTGACAGACACACTTACGGGACAACTACCGTAACCCTCGCTGCGCATGCGCGCCGAGGGTTAATGAGTGCAACACCAAGGAATAATCTAAGATTGTGACAGGTAAAGAAATGAGGACACCTCTCTAATAAGGATACCTTTTCTTTCTCCAAGAACACTTGTGTGAAATTTAACACACATTACTATTTTAATCTGTCCCACCGGAACAAGGGAGTTCCACTGGGCGTATAGTACCTCATCTAGCTAGTGCTATCAGCTAGTGATTACCTCTCTATTGTTGAGGGCAGCACTGGTGAACCGACAGAGATAGGTATACAAGTCCTTCTCAGTGGGAACGTCTCTCTCACTGACATAGTAGACCTCGAACCTCTTGGTGTCGGCTATCATGGCTCCAAACTTGGCCTCTCTGACATACCTGGCCATAGTGTCTGATGGAGAGAGAGAGATGGTGGGGGGAGTGACTATGAGCTAATAGGATGGTAACAATTTCTGGCAGAGCTTTTTGTTGGAAAATGGTAAAGCAATGCATATCGTCCGAATTTTTGTTGTGATAATTATTCATTTTCTATAGGAGTCATTACTGCCCCGCAGGGTTTGAATAAAAACTGCGTAATTTTCTAGTTCTTATTATCAGTGTTTTACATGTGTACATGAGAGATATAGTATATATGAAGGGAGACTGGATGGCCCTCACCATGGAGATCATGATGGTTGTGGCACAAGCGTAGTTTAGGAGGCAGCATCTGGCTGTTGATCCAGTAGATGAGCTCCTGGCGATCACGTCTCTTTATCTCCTCCTCTGACGGCTTCATCTCCATCAGCAGCTCCTCCAGCTCCTCGGGGTCAAGGTCGTCGCCATAGCGATACATCATCTCCCGTCGCATCATCTCCAGCTCCATGTCTCCGAACGAGTCCCGGTCGTAACCACGGCGATACATCCTGTCTCGCCGCATTCCTGGAGGGGTGAAAGGTCAACGAGGACAGCCGCTGACACACACAAACACTAGACAAGTGTAGGTGGCGGAGTATGAACACAAGAAGTGGATATCAAATAAATTCAACTTTACCCAGGTGCTCTTCAGCAGTAGTAGAGTAGTAGGCGAAAAAATACTCGTGTGCTAATGGCAACAATGGCTACTGCAAAGCCATAAGCCACGCCCACCAACCATCTACACCTAACAAAACGGCTGCCCGACATTAGAAAGAGAAAAGGACGACCAATTTTTCCCTTGGTACACTACAAAAGATTGTCCCTCACTGCGAAAGAACTCCAGATCTCTCTCTCGCAACCGTCTCGGCCCCCGACCAGCCATTTTGAGTCTATTTCTCCGTTGACCACGCGTATCCAAATTCAAGAGAGAATAGTATACGGAGATAGACTCGCGCATGCGCATTTACACGCTTTCTTTTCGCATGCGCGTACTGATTGAAAATCTATTTCCGCGTGGCCCCCGGCGAAAAGACACTCGCGTTCTAGCATCCGCAGCTGAGGAGAGGACCAGGGACGAGTCTGTAGCACTGTCCAGGGATCATGGACCTCTCTATACTCTGTCTGACTGCAGTTCTCTACGTAACGTCTCAACAGTGCAGGGCTGAAAGTGGTGAGTAGCAATGTCGTCCAAGAGAAGCGGGAGGTGTCATGCCTTGTTCGGTACAGAATATACTCACCGCAAGGCTGTATGGTGTATTGCAGTGTAGTAGATCCCTATTCGTAGTGTGTTTGTCAGTGAGTGTTGATGTATGTAGCTAGCGGAGGCTGGATCTCGTGTCCAAGCATTTCTCTATCTTCTGCCAAAATCTCCACTTAGTGCATGCAGCCACTGCATTATAGCCGTTCCGTCAGTGTAGCTAGCACTGCAGCTGTTTAGGGTTGTCTTGGCTACGCTCCTGCTATCTGCCTGGCTAGCTATGCTGTTTGTAGGTCTCCCTCGAGCCACATTCTCCAGTGATGGAGAGTACTGTCAACATGTTGAGGTAGCAGTGGGTAGCATATGTAGTGGTGGTTGGAGCGTCTGCCAGAAGTTCATTAGACTGTTGTCCTTCCACTGACACAAGACTACCGTCACATATGTTACACTTCGTCAGGGGTCGATCCAGATTTTCACATTACAGAGAAACATGAAACATCTGAGGAAAGGAGACTTGGTTCTGCCTCTTACTACAGTGGAACCCCTGTAATCAGGACACCATTCAAACAGAAGAAAGTGGCCATATTAGTGAGGTGTCCTTATTTCAGGGGTTGCAAGAACTGTTCTTGGAGAAAGAAAAGCTGTCCACATTAGTGAGGTGTCCTCATTTCTTTGCATGTTCCAGGATGCTGCAGATTGAAGGACAATTTCAAAGCCCCAAACATGTCCCTTATTAAGATGTGTCACTGTAGACGAAGCTGTTAGTTGCCGTGGAGCTAATGGCACGCTGTGTTGCTAGTAGGTACTGCGTTCCGACTGAACAAGATTTTGCTCTAATGTCTTCTACTAGTTATGCTGGCGGCCATGTAAATGTGCATCAAGGCATTAAAGTAAAGTGAGACTGTGGTATAAATATTGCCGTAACGAAGAACCTCATTAGCTACTATTAATGTAGTCATAACTACTAACTCAGTAGTCAGACAATGTACATATCTCGTGGGCTACCAGCGACCTGGTATATACACAATGGTAGATAACAAGACCTCTGGTGAGCATTAAGGCAACTTATTGCCCTGCTGTGATGACCTTAAATGTAATTTTCCGTCAGGTAAAGTTTTCTTTCAACGTTCATAGAAAGTTTATCTTTGTTGATTTGCGTCTTTTCATCGTGCCAGCAACAGACTAGCAACACAGTTGTTGTTTGACACAACTCATTGGCTAATGCCACTCCCCTTTACTCACTTATCTTGCCTAGATGTATAACCAGCAACCCTGAGTGTGGAGAAATTATTGTGGTTTTAGCGCTAAAATAGAGAGGGAGGGGTGGGAAGTCAGAACTGTACACTGTGGTTCGGCCCCATATACTAGTACATTACTGTATTACCTCTGAAAAAGAGATTCCTTTGAATAAAGCACACTTTCAATTTCCCAAAGTGACTCGTTCAGAGGATTCACTGTATGTACCAGGTTGCTCTGGTGTTTCCCTGAGCCTGGTATATACCAGGTCACATGCAGTAGTAGGTGCCCCTGGTGGTGTAGGTTGACAGGATATGAGGAGACAATCAGGAAGCAATGAGGATGGTGTGAGAGAGAGAGAGCAGCTGTTACACTTCCTCCACTTTGACAACAATGTTCCCTCTTGAGTGCGATGGTTTGAAATACTCAAATCTGATTGGTCAACTAGGTCCACATTGTTTCCTCTGTAGGATGAGGTCATCAAAAGTAGTCTTTCCAGTGATGTCATCAGTGGTTCAATTACCAATGATGTCATTGCCTCCTCTAATGGGTGTGGTCTGATGTGCCTCATGCATAGAGTGGTTCGAATAGTGAGGTTCCACTATATCACTGCAATAGCAAACAGTAATGGGGCCGGGCAGTGTGTGTGTGTGTGTGTGTGTGTTGTGTGGAGAGAGACAGGTGCTGTGCATTCCTTTCTAACCCCTGATTCCTTATATGGTCTTCATGGACAGTTCAGTCCGATAATGTTGACTGTTTTACAATAACCATTACTACTGTTCTGCCTCCCCTTTCTCTTCTCTGAGGACACCTCTCTAACGAGGACAACATTTTCTTATTTCTTGAGCATGCAATTCAACCCCTGAAGTGAGGACACCTCACTAATACGGACACTCCTGAAATGAGGACACCTCACTAATACGCAACCCCTGAAATGAGGACACCTCACTAATACGGACACTCTCTGTCTCATTGGTGTCTGGATTAGAGAGGCTCCACAGTATGTAGTGACCATTGGTAGAGTGGGACAGCAATCTTACTGCCAAATAGTTCTGCTGCTGAAATGCAGAAGTTGTTTATCTCATCCCCCGAAATTGTCCCACTCTACTACAATATTACTCTGAAGTTCCACAATTATTAGTTGGCTTCGTTTTGGCATGTGATGGTCTTGCATACCGTATATACTTAATGTACACGTCTTGCATACCGTATATACTTAATGTACACGTCTTGCATACAGTACACCTGCTATATTATGTGTGTATGTCTTATTCAGAGTTAAGAACCCAGTGTCCTAATATGGAGAGGTGTCCTTTATTCAGATGATCATTTTTCAGAGTTTTCACTTCATCTCTCTCTCTCTGCGCTCTTATCTGCGCTGACCCAGTTCTCTCGTCTCTCTCTCCCTCTCTCTCTCTCTCTCTCTCTCTTCTCTCTCTCTCTCTCTCTCCTATAAAGGATCCGGGATGAGTCCAGTGGACGTAGGGCCACTAATGCCTGAATCCAGTCTTGACACAACTGAGGTTATTTTTAGAACAGGAGATATTACATCATCATTGGTGGTGATGTCATCAACTCCCATCATGATGTCATCAGTGGTTCAATTACCAACGACGTCGCCACCTCTAGTGGGTGTGGTCACATCTGTGGCACCACCCGAGACAATTCCTGTTGCCACGAAAACCAGAGTTGTATCCACGGCAACAATACAGCAATCAGTTTCATTGCCATCATCGCCTGTGGTCGAGACGCCCTCTCAGTCGTCCACTAGAGATGATGTCGCTGAAACGGAAACAACTGCTGTTGCCGTGCCAACAACACTCATTACCACTACATCCGTACTAGCTCCACCCCCTTCCTCTGCTCCTCGTCCATCGTCATCTTCAACAGAACAGACATCTTCAGAACCCCCTGGTGGTGTGTTTACTTCATCGCCCGTGGCAACAACAAGTCCCTCCCACATCCCTGCTACTATATCGTCACCATTAGCAACAGAGCCACACCCACCATTGTCCCTCTCTCTGTCATCGTCTCCATCATTAACCCCATCCCCACCAGACACCCCGAATAGCGACGATTCCAGTGATGATGGGGTTATTACTGCAATCTCCATCGTTGTGTTCCTGCTCCTACTGATCGTCGCCATAGCAATTGTTGCCGTGGTGATTGCTCTCCTGATAGCCAGGAAGAAGAGAAGAACTCACACGTACTATACGGCAGGTGTGAGTGGGAACAAGTTCCATCACTACATTGATGTTCAGGTTAGATCCGGGGAAGGAGAATGGGGCGGGGACTGAAGGTTAGATCCAGGGAAGGAGAATGGGGCGGGGACTGAAGGTCAGATCCGGGGAAGGAGAATGGGGCAGGGACTGAGGGTTAGATCCGGGGAAGGAGAATGGGGCGGGGACTGAAGGTTAGATCCAGAAACTGCTGAGTCTGTTTTGCATTATAGTATAATTATTAGTATGGGGCAGACCCATAGATGTGTCCTTTATTCGGAGGGTCCTTTTCACTGTATAAGGTCTGGGTCTGGGTGCCAGTTATGCCAGTAATTAGAGGTATTTCAATACTCTAATTGCCCCTTTATCAGAAGCCGTGGTGTGTTGGACCGGGCACCAAATGTTATGACTAACCCTCAACATACCTCGTTAACTGCTAATGAACAGGGTCCTCCTCCCCCCCACACACAGGTGCGTACAGACGAGGAGATGAGAGAAAAGACACCAGATTCCAAAGACCTCCCCATCTTCGAGACCAGTTTCGTTGGGAACGACTCGACGACCGTGTTCAATGAACCTCTTGGTACCACACTCACTTTCAAAGGCGAACTGACTGCCGCACTGAAGGCACGGACCAAGAAGGGTGACCCCTCCGTTGCCAACGGCGACCACTTGCACCCCAGAGAGGAATGATGTCATCTTGTTGTCATGGCAATGCTTTATCACGTTACACATGTTGTTTTTCCTGCACTTTATAGGCTAGACCATCGCTCTTTTTCATCATCATCTGCACATTGTGTGTTGATTGAATACTTTGTAAAATGAAATGTTGTGTTGTTTTATATGTGATGTAAAGTTTTCAATTAATTATGTGTGTTTTTTGTTAAAAATCTAATCAAAAAGGATTATAATGCAGCTGGATAAAGGATAAAGTGGGCACTCTTTTCACAATACGCTATTTGTACATGTCTCTCCATTTTCAGTCTCAATGTCAGTCTTTTCCTCTCCATTCTCCCCCTTCTCAACTCCACAGCGGCCATAAGCAACATTCTTCTTCATTTCATCATCTGCTGACCTTTAGCATAGCGGAAATAATCATCATCTAATGAGTACACCTTTCTTTCCCCAACAACAGCTCTTCCAAATAAGGACACCTCATTAATAATTATGCACACCCTTCTTTAACCTTTGGTGATAGTAACAACTTAACCCATTTTAAGCTGAACATACGTGGGCAAAGAGGGGTTTAAATGCTGAACATATATACATGGGCAAAGTGGGGTTAAATGCTGAACATACGTGGGCAAAGAGGGGTTAAATGCTGAATGTACGTGGGCAAAGAGGGGTTAAATGCTGAACATACATGGGCAAAGAGGGGTTAAATGCTGAACATACATGGGCAAAGAGGGGTTAAATGCTGAATGTACGTGGGCAAAGAGGGGTTAAATGCTGAACATACATGGGCAAAGAGGGGTTAAATGCTGAACATACATGGGCAAAGAGGGGTTTAAATGCTGAACATATATACATGGGCAAAGAGGGGTAAAATGCTGAACGTTCGTGGGCAAAGAGGGGTTAAATGCTGAACATACATGGGCAAAGAGGGGTTAAATGCTGAACATACTGGGCAAAGAGGGGTTTAAATGCTGAACATATATACATGGGCAAAGTGGGGTTAAATGCTGAACATACGTGGGCAAAGAGGGGTTAAATGCTGAACATACTGGGCAAAGAGGGGTTTAAATGCTGAACATATATACATGGGCAAAGTGGGGTTAAATGCTGAACATACGTGGGCAAAGAGGGGTTAAATGCTGAACATACATGGGCAAAGAGGGGTTAAATGCTGAACGTACGTGGGCAAAGAGGGGTTAAATGCTGAACGTACGTGGGCAAAGAGGGGTTAAATGCTAAACATACCTGTACACAGAGGGGTTAAGACTGTTAGCGGGGGTGAAGTAGAGTGAAGCTGGTTCCTCCTCCTCTGGCACTGTGTCCAGCTGTCTGGACGTCTGTGAGGTGAGGGAGGAGGTGGGCGGGGACACTAGTTGCCGTAGAGACGACGAGGGATCGTTGGTCTGTGACGCCTGTCAGGAGCGAGGGAAACAAATAATACAGTGGAACTCCTCTAATGAGAGATATAATTATACCAATGAAAGTGTCCATATTAGTGAGGTGTCCTATTTCAGGGGTTAAATTGCATGTAAGAACTGTTGTTGGGGATATTATAACAATGTACTGCATTAACACGGAATTAGAGTGGCATCCACAGTAGACGATTGTGCTTGAGTTTTGTAAAACAGTGCTGTTAAGTCTAAAATCTTGCTGAAACAATTGCTACATATGAATACCTGAGAACCATTGTCAGAAGAGAGTGTACCAGATGGTGTCTTGATCTTCGTTTGCTGGAACAACATCTGCGATAGTTTCCTTGGATACTTTCTGTGAAGGAACAACGACAATGTTACCACGACATCACCTGTACTAAAAATAGAACGCACCTTATACCGTCACTATTATCGTGGTCAGCGCTGTTTCTGAGGTGTCTGCAGAATGTCACGATGAGGATTGCTCCTAGAACGCAGCACACGATGGAGACTATCAGGAACAGCACCAACACTGCTATGAAGGCATCACGTTGGTTCGAATCACTGGACAATCCACTCAGTGGTGGAGCTTTGGAACACGACTTGTCGTCCGACGTACACACGTCATTTGGTCTCAGCTGTACGCCGGTCTCCGAGGCCGCAACAAGGGGACCAGGCTCAGCCCAGGTTGCCAGGGAAACGAGAATGAGGGACGTGTTTGCTGTCTCCGTGGAAACCATCTCTGCCTGTATATACAAGGGAGGAACAGAGTGTGGGTTTTCAAATATATATTTCGGCCTGTTCATGATTTTCTCACAAATCAAGTCCTTCACACTAAGTCTGAATTTACAGAACTTTTGACTTTCAATTTACATATTGAGTGGGCACTCCGCACACTGTGTGCATATACAAGACAGCTACATTTTGTGTTGGAATGTGCTGCACTTTACATACTATCCTACCTGGAAAAGCAGCTGCCATTTATCCTGGTTACATGAGAGCAGAGACGAGTGTTTGATGATGTGGGCTGAACTGAAGTCATGGCAACACTGTGACCTAACACCAGAGACCACACCCCCTATCATGTCACTAGTGAACTGATCGTCAACTTTCTGACGGAGGAAGAAATGCAGTGGTAGAAAAGTGAAACAATGTCGGAGACAGGTTTTCATTATACAATGGAACCCCTCTATAAGAATGAGGACACCTCTCTAATACAATGGAACCCCTCTATAAGAATGAGGACACCTCTCTAATACAATGGAACCCCTCTATAAGAATGAGGACACCTCTCTAATACAATGGAACCCCTCTATAAGAATGAGGACACCTCTCTAATACAATGGAACCCCTCTATAAGAATGAGGACACCTCTCTAATACAATGGAACCCCTCTATAAGAATGAGGACACCTCTCTAATACAATGGAACCCCCTCTATAAGAATGAGGACACCTCTCTAATACAATGAACCCCTCTATAAGATGAGGACACCTCTCTAATACAATGGAACCCCTCTATAAGAATGAGGAACCCCTCTATAAGAATGGAACCCCTCTATAAGAATGAGGAACCCCTCTATAAGAATGAGGACACCTCTCTAATACAATGGAACCCCTCTATAAGAATGAGGACACCTCTCTAATACAATGGAACCCCTCTATAAGAATGAGGACACCTCTCTAATACAATGGAACCCCTCTATAAGAATGAGGACACCTCTCTAATACAATGGAACCCCTCTATAAGAATGAGGACACCTCTCTAATAAGGACACCTATTCTTGCAACTGAACCCCAGAAATAATAATCCTCACTAATCTAGTGGTGTCCTGATTAGAGGAGTTCCACTGCACACTCACACAATCAACCCACCAGCTGGTTGTCACAGGAGAGAGACAGGTCACGAAGATCAAGGACGTCAAATAAGATGGAGAACGGAACTCCACTCTCTCCTGTATATACAGGACAATATTTATGTGGTGTCCTGTTAATATGGTGTCTATGCCCTGAATAGACTAACGCTGTCCTGATCAGACTTACTGCTGTCCTGATCAGACCAACACTGTCCTAACGCTGTCCTGATCAGACTAACACTGTCCTAACGCTGTCCTGATCAGACTTACTGCTGTCCTGATCAGACTAACGCTGTCCTAATGCTGTCCTGATCAGACTAACACTGTCCTAACGCTGTCCTGATCAGACTTACTGCTGTCCTGATCAGACCAACACCGTCCTGATCAAGAGAAGCAACATACCATCGTTGTCAAGGATTGTGACAGACACCTGGTCTCTCTCAAAGTACACACTGTCAGACGAGAGGCTGAGATTGAATTCCTGAGCCGTCTCCAAGGCAACGTCATCGACTATGCCAACGGTTACATTGGTCTCAGTAGAGATGTTAAATGGTGAGTCAACCTCCACATAATCCTCCCCCGATACTGACGAAGGAGAGAGAGAGAGAGAGAAGATTCTAATGACAACAAAGATCAGTGGCCATCAAACTATATGGCATTATTGGTGAGCAGAAGCAAGTGTCAGCAACTACTGCTGTTTTTGTCGTCACACTACCCATACTAATACCATCCTCAGATGACTAAAAACCTCTACTGACAATGACAGTGAAAAAAGATGAGGACAGTATTAAAGCCCCTACTGGCCTGTCTCACCTGCCGTTCCACTGACTGTCTTGACATACACTGACACTAGTCTAGTGGACGAGAGGACAAAGGTCACCGATCCCTCCCCCTCTCCCACGGCAACCGCAGGTGGACTGATGCCGACCCTTGGACCTGGAGAATGATGAGATCATGTGATGTCACATGACTGTCATGTGACCCCAACTCACAGTCACACGATGATTCAACTGTGCCATCGTGAATGTTCTGCCGATACCTTTGAGTAATAACAATTACATCATGACCATTACATCATATTTACATCACACTAATTACAGAGAAACCTCTCATTAGTGAAGGAAACCACTGACCATTACATCATATTTACATCACACTAATTACAGAGAAACCTCTGATTAGTGAAAGAAACCACTGAAGAAAAGACAGTTTCAATATCCTAAACGTTCAGTGGTTTTAACCATTACATCATAATGACATCATCCTCACTTGTTGTCAACTGGCAGACTGGGTGACAGTAGGTTCAGCTCACACATATATGTGTCCATGTTGTACACACAGTAAGGGTCTCTAGTCGCTACACATTCACTGGAGAATGACAGTGAGAAAGGGGTTAAAATTGAACTAATGCCAGGCAACAAGCCCCGCCCACCTGCAGCGGCATTTTGGGAAACGACCACACCTCTGAACCGGTAGTTTGTAGACCCTCGTATCCGTGGAGACGAAGAGAAATTTCTCGCCGCCCACGGACCTTAGCTTCATGTCCGTCACATTGCGAGGGTCTTCTGGATCCAACTGTCATGTGAAGATCACATGACATCACATGATCCACTGAAACATGCACACACAGTATACACTCTGAAATGAGGAATACACCATTTCTTTCCCCAAGAACGGTTCGGCAATTTAACCCCTGAAATAAGGAAACCTCACTAAATATGGACTCTTTCATTGGTGTCCTGATTAGAGGGGTTCCACTGAATTAAGGACCTCTATATCCTCTGAAATGACTGGTACTGTCTCTCCATCATCACCGAGGCCAAACACAACTTTCAGGACATGCCCCGAATCTGCAAAATACCAGGACATCTTCTCACTGTGTCCTATAGGACAACTCTAGGACTGACCTAATCCAAGAAACAGCACGTCCTGATTAACACACGCCGTCCTGTCGCCCCTGGTTACCACACACACAGTGTCCTGGACCATGCGGTTCACTCTGGAAATTGTAGAAATAGCAGCACGTCACGTGACGAAGCTAAAAATAGTAACAAACGCACATGACATCATCGAGAACAAGGATTGGGTCGTTTCCTATTTGCTCCACGGAAACGTCAGGATTTATGAAGAGTAGCCGCTGATCATCGACATCCCTACCTTCAGGAGCACACTGTACAAACAGGTGGACAACATTAGCTGTTGGGACGGCCTAAATTGTTCGTACTTTTAGCAAGCAAGTGGGGGGGAGGACAGACCAACCAACCATCCTGAATACCTTGACTATAGCTGGAGAGTGCAGTGAAAGAATAGGGTGGCCTAAATTGTTTGTACTTTTAGCAAGCAAGTGGAGGGAAGGACAGACCAACCAACCATCCTGAATACCTTGACTATAATTGGAGAGTGCAGTGAAAGAGTAGGGTGGCCTAAATTGTTCGTACTTTTAGCAAGCAAGTGGAGGGAAGGACAGACCAACCAACCATCCTGAACGCCTTGACTATAGCAGTGATAAATATAGGATGGCCTAAATTGTTCGTACTTTTAGCAAGCAAGTGGAGGGAAGGACAGACCAACCAACCATCCTGAATACCTCGACTATAGCAGTAATAAATATAGGATGGCCTAAATTGTTCGTACTTTTAGCAAGCAAGTGGAGGGAAGGACAGACCAACCAACCATCCTGAATACCTTGACTATAGCTGGAGAGTGCAGTGAAAGAATAGGGTGGCCTAAATTGTTTGTACTTTTAGCAAGCAAGTGGAGGGAAGGACAGACCAACCATCCTGAACACCTTGACTATAGCTGGAATGTGCAGTGATAAATATAGGATGGCCTAAATTGTTTGTACTTTTAGCAAGCAAGTAGAGGGAAGGACAGACCAACCAACCGTCCTGAATACCTCGACTATAGCTGGAGTGTGCAGTGATAAATATAGGATGGCCTAAATTGTACTTTTAGCAAGCAAGCGGAGGGAAGGACAGACCAACCAACCATCCTGAATACCTTGACTATAGCTGGAGTGTGCAGTGAAAGAATAGGGTGGCCTAAATTGTTTGTACTTTTAGCAAGCAAGTGGGTGGAAGGACAGACCAACCAACCATCCTGAATACCTCGACTATAGCTGGAGTGTGCAGTGATAAATATAGGATGGCCTAAATTGCTTGTACTTTTAGCAAGCAAGTGGGGGGAAGGACAGACCAACCGTCCTGAATACCTCGACTATAGCTGGAGTGTGCAGTGATAAATATAGGATGGCCTAAATTGCTTGTACTTTTAGCAAGCAAGTGGAGGGAAGGACAGACCAACCAACCGTCCTGAATACCTCGACTATAGCTGGAGGGTGCAGTGAAAGAATAGGGTGGCCTAAATTGCTTGTACTTTTAGCAAGCAAGTGGAGGGAAGGACAGACCAACCAACCGTCCTGAATACCTCGACTATAGCTGGAGGGTGCAGTGAAAGAATAGGGTGGCCTAAATTGCTTGTACTTTTAGCAAGCAAGTGGAGGGAAGGACAGACCAACCAACCGTCCTGAATACCTCGACTATAGCTGGAGGGTGCAGTGAAAGAATAGGGTGGCCTAAATTGTTTGTACTTTTAGCAAGCAAGTGGAGGGAAGGACAGACCAACCAACCGTCCTGAATACCTCGACTATAGCTGGAGTGTGCAGTGCAATCTCTAAAATGGTTCGTACTTTAGTGTTAGAGAAGACAGGCCAAACTATTATTCTGATGACTAAGTACAAACTTCAACACTAGTCAAAGTATTAAGGATAGTTGGTTTGTCTCTTTTTCCACTCATGTGCCTACAACAAATGCAAAATCATTGACACCCTTATTTAGGGAGGTTGGGCGAAATTTGGGCGAGATAGGCACGAGGTGTCCGCGATGCTCAAATCTGTTTATTAACCATCCTTCATGTATCCCATCCCTATCTTGTCTCCCTTTCTTTTTACCATCCCTATATGCCTCTTTTTTTAAATCGCAGGATTTTAATTTACTTGTAATCTTTACTATAGCTGGAGATTATGATGGCCAAAAGTTATAAACAATGTCATACCTCAACAAAAGCGTTTTCAACGGTAGTGTCTTCTAGGTCACTGGTAATGTCCTCACGAAATATGTCAAACACACTCTTAGTTCTGCCAGCAACTGCAGAGACCACACCCACTTAACGAGACTGTTTTGTTTCTAGGCAACATGTGCTCACCTGCAGAGGTCTCTACTGAGTTGTCTGCTGGATACACACAGAGGGCGGAGCCTACTGGGCCGTTACTATGGAAACAAATAAACATTACGCTATTCACGGAAACATATGCAAAAGTATTCTCAAAGCTAAATTATAGTCTGCACTTTGGGAAATGTGTTACTGGTTTTATTGAATGTTGTGAGAATCACCGTACCTCGGACCAGTGAAAGATCCATACAATAGTCTCGTTGGTGACTCACTGTTGTCATAGTAACGACCTTCTTCACTGAAGACAAAGCTGGCTGTGTGTGTAAACAAGGTTAAAAAAGGAGAGTAGTGGTCTGAGGTCACAGTATCGTGGAAGCAATTCTAAAAAGACGTGAGTGACTGCTTCACTTGCCACGCCCCCACCAATGATGCCATTTTTGGCGGGTGTCTCCGTGGAAACACCCACTTGGATAATAGGGGATTTATACTCCAGCAATCAGATTGGTCAATTGGGAGACTTACTGATGCTGTTATAAACGTAGTCCAGAGTGTCAGCAAATTCAAGAGTGGATGGTTTGTCACAGAATATCCTAGCCTTCATGAACGTCGAGAAATGCCGGGCCCCGCCCTCCTCGGTCGCCATGGAGCCGGGGTCATTGCGACACACCCTCACCAGACGAGAGTATATGACGTCATCCGTCACCAGTTTCTCTCGTAGGAAGATGAACCAGAACTGATAATCGCTGGCGTTTGTTGCGTCATAATCTGCTTTCTCGACTCCGACAAAAGTCACTGGAAAAGTCAACCAGTTGTTGTTGGCACTGATTGTACGGAATAGCTCCTCTGTTGCTAGGGAGTTGGGGTCAGAGGACGTTGCCGTGGTGATATTCTTGTAGGAGATGCTAAAATGTCGTCCGGCACTGTTCTCTCCATCGAAGAATCCAGCTGCCAGAAAGACAGTGTCTTCATCTGTTGAAGGAGGAGGGGGGGATCTGTACACTAGAGAAAGCTGATATAACTAAGTACAGTAGTACGTAGGAATTACACACTAGCTACCGATGTAGCATCATTGTCCATACATTTGTAAAATCCACATTTGCCCAGCAAAAGCACATGACCTACGTACCAACGATTACTCTACTATAATATTATAGTAAGTCAGTTTCATCACTGTTTTATTGTGGCTAGTAATTACTATCCTATTTCACACTGACAGACATAATTATAGAGATTTTATTGAGGACTGTCAGTGTCTAGTACTATAGTGTACAGCGAGTACATTGCTGAAGGCTTATATACTGGATCTGTTCCAGGGAGTTTCTATGATCTGTTTCACACACCGTTTGGGCTATGTGAGCGACAGAGAAAAGTACCAACTGTACTGACAAAGAGAAGTACCAACCATTGCTGGTTCTGAACTGTCCAAACTCAGAGAACTGAGGAAGATAGGAGACCAGACCGTCTGAGGCCGGGACAGCTGCAAACTCCTCTACCTCCACTGATCCTTCATCTCCTCTTACACCCAACTGGAGGTAGGGAGGGAGGGAGCAAACGACTATTGTGGAAATGTCTCTCTAAGGATACCCCTGAAATGATGAACTTTTGAACACTTTCCTTCCCCCAAGAACAGTTCTTGCATGATGCCAAATAAGGACACCTCACTAAGGATGCTTTCATTAGGCCAAGAATTAAGGTCTGTACTAAACCTAGAATTAACCCCTCTCTCACCAGGAGGATCCGGCACTGTGGCTGGATGGCCGACTGAGTCCCACAGACTAGTACCTGCGACGAGTTGCTAGGCAACCGCTGGTACACCCTAATATGGTTGTGACAAGTGAAATTCCGAACCTGTAGAGTGTAAAAATAGCAACCATTCAATTATTGAGAAAACTTTAGTACAACAGTTGCTTTTAATTCACTAAAACGATCACACGAGAGTCATGTGACGAAGGGAGAGATCACATTAGAGTCATGTGACCAGACAAATGAATCATGTGACCAGTAGAAAGGATCACGAGAGACAGGTGTGACCAGTAGAAAGGGTCACATGAGAGTCATGTGACCACACCTCAGCAGAGGAAGAGTCGAACAATTTTCCGACAGTTGTCTTCATTCTCTTTGTCTCTCCAGTGGTACTCAGTCAGTGGAGAGAGGTCTGAGGTACTCAGGAACACCAGTTTATCTCTAGAGGATGGAGAGAGGGAAGGAGAGGAGAGAGGGAAGGAAGGAGAGAGGGAGAGAGATATGGAGAGAGAAGTGAGCCTACCTAGTCGTCCGAATGCGGAATTTTTACGTGACCGGCACTGCACATACAGTAGTGTTCAACATCATTCTAAATACGTGCGAAATATTCAACGTCATTCTCAACAAGTGGTAAAAAATTATCGTTCGCCAAAAATGCTGTTGAGAATGAAAATGGTTGCCACTCTCAGAGAGTAAAACAACAGCCAACAGAGAGAAAACACAGCCTTGCGGGAGACACTGGAATGTGTGTTTCAGAGTCTTTCAGTTGCTCTGTATACAGCTGGACGGCCACCTCAGAGATACTATACATCAACAACTGTCAATCTGAAACGGGTTGCTCTGCCAGTCAAACACTATATGGCATTAGACGAACTGGAATTTCCTTCACTATTATACCACATATACAGTGGAGCCCGCCTAATCTGGACACCAATGTAACAGAAGAAAGTGTCCTTATTAGTGAGGTGTCCTTATTTCAGGGGTTGAATTGCATGCAAGAGCTGTTTTTGGGGAAAGAAAAGGTGTCCTTATTAGAGAGGTGTCCTCATTTCAGGAGTGTCCTTAGAGAGGGTTTCCACTGTATACAGTCAGTCTAGTATGGGAGAGGGAGGGAAGGGAATATATACGAACATTTCTTTCAGTCATGACTTGAGGTAAAATAAGGTGATTTGCATGACACACAGTACAACATGACATGCATTACCTAATGAAGGTATTAGATCATGTGATGCCAAGAGAAAAAAGATGTGGAGCTCTGGACAGCTGTTTGGGCTTGTTGGCCCTCATCAGCAGAGCATACCCCAACTTCTCTCTCTGGCATCACGAGTTTATAACGAAATAACAGACTTTAGTCTGGAGTCAAACTGAGGTGTTGTGACTGGAAGTGCAGTAAACTACACTACAGTACTGCTGCAAATGATCATTACACAATGGCAGCCTTCTCCTCCCATTCTCTCTGGCCCGACCATTCTACAATCTTCCACCCACCAGCTCAACGTAGACAAAGAGGGAGTACTTATTGACTTACGCAGCACCGGTTACCACGGCACCCTCGAGAAGCTCAAAATTCAGTTGACTTATAAAATAACTTCGGTCCTTAGCAGCTTCTTCTCCACTTCCGTCTGGATATCTGTAAGAGGTGTCTGTGAGTGAGGAAGACAAGAAAGAAAGTGGATATCCTCTAATCCAGACACCAATGGTACAGAATAAAGTGTCCATATTAGTGAAGTGTCCCTTGTTAAATTGCATGTAAAACTGCTCTTGGGGGAAAGATGTTTGTATTTAGAGAGGTTCCCATATTCTGGGGTTGTCTTTAGAGAGAGGTTCCACTGTAGCTATAGTTGCTGGTTGTCTTGTGTGTGTGTGTGTGGTAGCAAGATGATCAGTTTCTTGTTTCTCGAGATGTGACTTGTTGCTATAATTAGAAAGCTGTTCTATTTCTGGCAACGTCAAGCTGCCTCATCTGTGTACTACAGTGATGGGCTTTAGAGGTTAGGGAGAAGCAAGTGATACGATAGGAAGTGAGTATCAACAGTTGTCTCGGATATGAAGTGAATATCAACATTTGTCTCGGGGTTGTAGCGCTGTGCCTAGTGCACTGGACTTTCAGTCACCACACCCAAAGTTTAACTCCCACACAGAGACGGTCTCTTACGTAACCATCCTCATTTGCCTTATAAGGGGAACTCAACTCTTAACCAGGGTATGTTTTTTCGGCCCTCAATGATTGTAGATTTAGGAGTGATTGTTACAGTAAGATAACACACCCACATCCTCAATACCTGCATATGATATACTGTACTTCCAATATATACCTCTTGTTTTGAAGGGAACAATAAGTCTGCATACAATACTGCCTTTAGAGACTGTTTCTTATACACACTACAATTATGGGGGGAAGGAATTTACCCAGGCAGATATATAGGGCGAGTTGGTTGTGAAATAAGTCACAAAAGGTATTATGTATACATTATTCACACAACCATAGATACTGTGGGTAAACCGCAAACTACAGCTAGAGACATTGCGGGTAGCTAAAACATATAGCTACTATGGGTAAACAGAGACTGAGGCTAGCTAAAAGCAGTCTGGCAGGGACCATGGATAATTCAGCTAGTTGAAGGCCAGCTCAGCTCCTTGGCACCCACTGGCTCATGCTATTACCATGGACAGGCTCTCGCACACTGCTAGCTACGTATTCACATACAAGGCAACCATTAGCTTTGGCACGTACAGTAATAGAGGTCCCTACGCGACGACAAGGCAAGCTGTTCTGTACATTGGCTTTCTTGCTATTAGCATAACAACAACAAGCCTAGCTACACTTGTATTACATCCGCACCATGTAAAAACACGTAGCTGGTAACTACGACGGGGTCTATACCGAGCTCTTGCTCGAAGTCAAGAGGACCAAACCTTTTTCCATGCACCATGCAGGCCTATGTACATGATGTTTAGGTTACATCATGCAAAAATACGTGTGCCCTTGCATTGAGCTAGGCAGATGTTACAAGCTATCCGATTCTCTTGACATAAACAAATAGGTCTATTCACCTCCTATCGATGTCCTATAGTCCAGCCCGTACTGGGCGACGTAGCGACCTTCTGTCGTCCTCCAAACCGTCAGTAACAGTACCAGCAGAGAGCTAAGCAGCTGTCGCCCTTTGTAGCCTCTCTCCATCCTTCACGACAACGGCAAGAGCTTTGTTATGGAGCTTGCGAATTGGTGGGGGTGTAAGCGGCAGCTAGCGCAGCCGTACCACACCCTTTCTGCTGCATTATAATGATGAAGCTTGCATGCGCGTATAATTATACTGTCAATTCAACTGCACTCTACCCTAGGCCCAGTTCCCATTGGTCTGATGGATAAGCACCCCCTCTCATGATCGTGAGGTCCCCGGTTCGATCCCCGGGGAGTGTGCGCCTTTTTTACAATGATGTAATAGGAGTGTTGGTATATATGGAACGTTTTTTCATTACCTCTCCAGGCCAGCCTGAGTGGCTAGGTGGTTAGAGTCGTGGGGACTGACACCATAGGTGCGAGGTTCGTATCCCGATCCCGCACTGAAAGTGTCAGGTGGTCCAGAGCATTGGCTGGGAACAGCTCTGGTTCCTCCCCTTACCCACAAATCTACCACTGACCAATGTTTCTCAAAGGGCAGCGTACAGTTCGGCATAGCACTGCGTCAGTAGACGTCTGTCTGGAGAGATGAAGGGCTGGCCGTTTTTTTTTTGACTTTTTTTTTTTGCACTAAACAATCCACGGGTAATACGAATATTAATAGGGAGATAAAAGTTGGCAATTTTTCAACCTTATATATTTTTTGGGCCTCAAACAGATATAGCGGCTGGCCATTTTTTTTCACCTATTGATAATATTCCATGGAAATGGTGCATAACATGCTGATGCATGGTGAAGACCATCAATTGTGGTGGTGCCACACTTGTGTATGGGTTCCACACTTCTATAGAGTGTGCCGAGGGTTTGCACTTTAGTGCTTTTCATTGTAAACTGTTCAGACCCTGAAAGATTGCTTGGCAACAGACTAACCTAGCTATGCTGCTACATGATGAATTGTCAGCTGCAGTGCAACAACAAGAATCTGACCACCAGTTTCCAGACTTACAGCTCCCGTGCTTGCACGCGCAGTCGGTCGGGCCGCCGGGGGCGCGAGGACGCGACGTCACGCGCGTAAAGTAAGGTCAACAGCGCGCACGCGCAATCCGTTCAGGCACACCCTTTCTCGGACACCTCCTCCTCCATTCTACGAGACCACCATGGTCAGCTTCCTAGGCCTCTGCTGGGCCGTCTTCATGGCCGCTCCACTCTCGCCTAGTCTGGCACTGCGCAGTGAGTGCTACGCTCTTTCTCTCCGATTTCTCTCTCTCTTTCCATTGGTATGTACTCTCTCTATGCTCTTTCTCTGTTATAGCCATACACCGTTTCTCTGTCTTGGGAGGCTGGGTACCTACTTTACGGTAGAGTAAACTACGGAAAGCTGTCGAAGAATAGTACATACGAATAAACCTATAATTGTAGCAAACAGTCAACCCTGAGCCCGAGAGACATCTGCCTCGGCACTGTGCTCTCTCTCTTCTCGTGCAGTTCCGTTTCTCCGTCGTTACGAGCCGCTGAACTACGACCTAGAGCTTCTGACCAGGCAGCACCACAGTCTGAGGGCGAGGTCTGCTGATCAAGACTCCTCCATCTCCCTACAGTTTACTGCCATGCACAGGTATAACATCTCCCTCTCTCTCTCATCTCTTGATTGAATTTCCAAACATGATGAATGCAGCACTGAGCAGTGTATAAAGACTAAATATTCCCTTCTGCACAGCTCACAACACTTGTCACTAAAACAGCGGTAGACTCGTTTAAAAACAACAAAGGCAGGCCAATTTAGTCCATGATTGTGTCCCTCTCTCCCTGCCGCGCTCTAAACAAGGAGGTAATGGTGTTGATTGCTATATTACGACATTTGGCAGCAGGTGGTGAGTAATTCTCTATCACCTCATATTCCTCTCTGCTTGAGCTGGTCTGTGTACACAAACAAGGTTATTCATGTGTCAAAGTGGGTGTTGATGTGACCATGGTGAATGTGGACAACTTTTCAGTAATTGCTGAAGAAAGCGCTCATTCTTGTAGCCACGCTGTTGTAACCCTCCGATCATGGGTCACCGATAAGAGACAGTGTCCATATTAGGGAGGTGTCCTTTATTTCAGGGGTTAAATTGCATGCAAGTTACTCTGGTATGTGGCATTCTGTCACTATTGGAATGGCAAACCTGCAGCTAATTAATCCCATTACGTCAGGCTCCTCCCCCTCTCTTTGCAGACCATTTGACCTGGTGTTAGTTCCAGACACCTCGTTGTTCCATGAGGACTTGTCTGTCAGTTCATCTCGTGGGCCACTCCCCTCTCATCACCTCCTCTCCTCCACCTTCACTGGATACGACAGAAGTAAGACGTGACGTAATACGAACCACTCACCCTTATTACCAACAAGTAACCTTAGTCAAAGAACTCGCTGTTTTTTTGCCTATGAATTTAACTATATAAGTGTATTACCATATTCTGTATAGGTAAACGCTGCAGTACATGTTTCATATATTATCAACTTCATACTTTCGAAGCTATGATGTCATTGAATAATAGTTCATGGTTAGTTCAACTTAGTAGTTTCAGTCCATGATATTATTTCCTTGACAGATATAGCATATTTCCTATTTCCTTGTTATGTCCATGTTTACAGTGGTACTGCCATCATCAGCACACATCTGAGCACACACACACACACACTCTAATATAGCTTCACATACCTACCAACCATCCCGCTTTTTACTTGATAATGATTTTTCCACTTGTCTATATCTGGTATGCCAAGAATGATGGGAGTAAAAAGGCTTTCGATAATGAAGCAAAAATACTATCCTTCCAAAAAATTTGCCAAATGCCTCTTTTGTGCTAACCTGTGATGCATCGTGCCTATACATTTTGAATGGACACACAGCATTTTCAAGCAAATTTGATACATTTCTCAAGCAAAGGTTCATATGTTGGTAGGTACGGCTTCACCTACACATACAGGGCAGTTTCACCTCACATACTTGTCAGGGGGGACCTTTCATGATATGGTGGTTGCATACAAACATCCCTTTTTCAACTTGGGCTAAAGTGGCTAAAGTCCTCGAAAGATTCCCGGCAATACAACATGACACAACATGAGATAGAGTCTTACACAGGCTATGATGGATCCATTGCACGAGACTTTTTTGTCTCAAGTTGCAACATTCAGGGCCACACATTTGCTGGTATTCTAGTATTGACTTTGATGGTTTCAGTTGGTTTGTTTACGCTGTGGCTGCCATAGATACCCCTGGATCTCGTGTCCATGGCAACCTGATATCAGGAGTGTTGGATGGAACAATTTACACCAATGACGAGATTTACTACATCGAGCCCGCTCATAGGTAACCATGACAACTACTGGTGGAACCTCTCTACATTAGTGAGGTTTCCATTTTCAGGGGTTAAGTTACATGCAGGAACTGCTGTGTCTTTATTAGAGATGTGTCCTCATTTTAGGGATGTCCTTAGAGAGAGGTTCCATTATGTAATGATTACATCATCGTTTAATTCCACTCAGGTATGCTAGGGACACTCAGCATCACTCCATCGTCTATCGCCATAGCGACATAAACACCGACGCACTCCGGGGGGCACGGTGCGGAGTCAGCGATGACCACTCCAGTCTAGTGGGGTACCTCGAGAGGATGGGGCGGAGTATGCTTACCCCGGGAGACAGAGTCACCCCGGAGTACCGGAGTAAGAGGCAGAGTGGGAGCAGCCTGGTGAGGTGTGACCTGAACGTGACAGGCGACTACCTCTTCTACCAAGAGGTGACCAGGGACCTGGGGAGCCTGTCTGTGAGGGAGAAAGAGGAGGTGGCCCTGTCACTGCTCGTCAGCTACGTTCAGGGGGCCAGCGAGATTTATAAGGTAAGGTTGACAGAAAGGTTGTTCCCATCCTATATCGCTCCATTGCTCAAAATGTTTGTCCTTTCCGCTCCACAATTTATCCTTTCCTCAATAAAGCTCCATACTAATAGTACATTAGTGTAGTATGCAATAAAGGACACCATTAATTGTCTCTTATTCAGAGGCTCCATTCATTGTATACATACTCCATTGAATGAATGAACACCCTCTTTCCCCCCTCAAACCAGAGAACAGATTTTGACAGTGATTCCAGCACAAGTGACAACATTCAGTTTGGTATTAGAGATCTCGTCATCGAAACCACAGCCTCTCTCCCCCCATTCGACAGCCCGTTCATCGGGGTGGAGCGATTTCTTCAGGAGCATTCGCGGTCGTCCAATTTCAGGGACACCTTCTGTCTGCATTATCGCTTCACTCATCGGGATTTCGACGGTGGAGTACTAGGTCAGTTGAGAACGGCTGAGGTCCGGTGGGAAAGAGGGGAAGAACTAGCTTCTGTCGGGAGTCAAACTGATACATTAGTGTATGGAATAAGGGACATCTCTGAATAAAGGGCACCCCTCAAATGTGTCCCATATTCAAACATCTCATTTGGTGTGTGTAGGTTTGGCGTATGTGGCAAAGGAGAACTCCAGAGGAGGGATATGTCAGAATGAGCTCAACACTGGGATAGTGACAACCCTCAACTACGGCCGGAGGGTTGCTCCACAGGTCACTGTCCTCACGTTTGCTCATGAGGTCGGCCATAACTTTGGTTCTGAGGTCAGTGTTACAGTGATTACGCCCCAAGTTACCCTCATTAATGCCAAACTAAACTTCCAGTAAATTGATCAGCTAACATCGAAATTGCTAAATTTAGATGTTGAAACACAACCATACTCTTGGAATCCCATGACATGTACTGTATATATGTATGTATGTATATACTGTATGTACTGTATGTATGTATGTATATACTGTATGTATGTATGTATGTATATACTGTATGTATGTATGTATGTATATACTGTATGTATGTATGTATATACTGTATGTATGTATGTATGTATGTATATACTGTATGTATGTATGTATGTATATACTGTATGTATGTATGTATGTATATACTGTATGTATGTATGAAACCGCACTTTGCCACACACAACAGTCCCATAAAAAGCGTTTCTTGTAAAATGGTAAAGGGAATGTGCATTTTAAATGGCAAAATATTATCATAACGATTTAATACCAAATGTATATGGAAGTGTAAGTGGAGAAAGCTTAGAATAAAGAGTAAAGTGATAACAAAATTTTACCTTGTGAAATAATGATGATGTAATCATTACCTCACCAGCATGATCCTGAGAGTTCTGACTGTGCACCAGGAGGTAGTGGTGGGAACTTCATCATGTATGCCTTTGCCACCAGCGGTAGTCAAGGCAACAACAACAGGTTTTCGACCTGCAGCAGGGAAAGTATGAGGCTCTTCATCAGGACGAGAGGCCAGGAGGGAGACGATGGTGGGGCTTAAATGGAATGTGGCAGTATATAAGGGCTAAATGTATTTCACTGCTGGGCAGGCCCTATTGTTTAGTTCCATCTTTTGTAAAAATTTATGCCAACACCAACATAGATGTGGAACTCTGATGGATGAGATAATATGTCACATGACTTCAACTCTGTTTGACCACACCCCTTTTCTTCCACAGCATGTTTCTCTGATGCCAGCGATGTATGTCAGAATAGGGTCCTTGACGACGACGAGGCATGTGACTGTGGCATTGATTTCGACCAGGACACCCATCTCTGTAATGATGATCCCTGCTGTAACGGAACTTCCTGTCAGCTAACTAACAGTGCAGCTTGCAGGTATTCACACGTCAACATTGTTCATCTCTAATTGTTCTCAGTTTCTCGTTTGAGAAAGCCTCCCATGGTGTGCTAGTGGCGAATGACACAGACCTCACGTACAGTGTTTCCAGAATATAAGTTTTGCTTTTCCCAATGAAACGTGGAGTTTTCGACGTGCAAGCATTGTGGAATGTGATTGTGCAACAACTGATTATGCGTCTAGGAATCTTACACTCAATTTCACTGTCCATCTCTCTCCTCTCCCTCCCTCCCTCCATCTCTCTCCTCTCCAGCCGTGGTCAAGGAGTGTGCTGTGACCCAGACACCTGTCAGTTCCTGGGAACCAGTGTAGTGTGTGCCGATCTCACTGACTGCGGTCTCCCTTCCAACTGCACATATCCTCCATACACACCTCACACACAACATGAGTTGAACCCCTTTAATCTGGACACCAATGAACAGAAGAAGTGTGGTGTTAAGGGTTAATTTGTACGCAAGAACTGTTTGTGGAGGAAGAAAAGGTGTCCTCCTTTCAGTGGTGTCCCTAGAATTATGCGAATATGACTTAGCCACACCCACAACACCTCTGTTGCTATGGTTCCCTGACTCCACCCACTGGTTCTTCGGCTAGCTGTCCTGCGCAGGACCCGCGAGGACCCTCGGATGGAGTTGACTACAGACTCTGCAATAATGGAACTGCCACCTGCTCTGGAAATGTAAGGGCAATCATTACATAATGGTCATGTAATACGGTTTATGCTATAATTGTGTTTATAATGGGGCTATGTGTGTAAAGGTTCCAGCAATCTTGCTCCATTCCATCATTACGTAATGATGATGTAATTCAACTGGAAATCTAATCCTAGTGTGGATAGTCTCCATCATTACGTAATGATGATGTAATCCAACTACAGGAGTGTACGGGGTCATTCTGTGTGGTCCTGAACGCCAGTCAATGTTCGTGTGTGACGGAGGAAGAAGAATGTCATTTGTGTTGCCAGCTGGAAGACCAGGAGTGCATGTCAACCATAGCTCTGGCAGAAATGGACAGTTCCTTGTTGCCTGGGGGGACAGGACTGCAGCTCCCCGTCGGTGCACCTTGCAACAACTTCAGAGGATACTGCGATTTTCTCAACAACTGCTTCCAGGTCGACAGTGAAGGTATGTTGGACCGACGAGGGAGGGAGGGAGGGAGGGATACTGCTAAAGTTCTCAATTTGAGAGGGAGTGACTATTGGGTACAAGATTTTCAACAGGCACATAGGACTAAAGATGATATTTTCCTTTGTGTCTATAAGTATAGAATCTTTTCTCCACAGAACCTGAACTTTTCTTTTAGATATAGTGTGTCATCTGTGCTATTGTCTCATCTGCAGGAGCGTTGGACAGACTGACCAATCTGTTCTCCCCCGGCAACGTGAACCAGGCCCTGGACTTTGTCCGAGACAAGTGGTGGGCGGTCCTGGCGGGAGGTGTGGGGCTCCTGATCGGCATCTTTGTCCTCATCCTCATCATCCATCTCGTCCTCCCTCGCCCCGAACACGTGAAGGCAAGGGCGGAGCGTCGCCAGACCATTCTCCGGAACAGGAATGTGGGCCGAGCCCACCCCAATCAGGGCGGACATGAGATGAGGAAGTGGAAAGCTCCCCACCAGTAGCAACACTCTCTTCTCTCTCTCTCTTATGGCTGACTGACATATAGCATATAGCTCCATTATAACATGCATTTTTATCACGTTTTAGAGGGTGTGTGAATAACAGACTGTGTATATTATTGTATTATAATGCATTTTTGAACATTATGATGGTTGATGGTGATAAGGAAATATGATGTGAGGTCAAGAGTTCGTCTCCAAGGCAACTGCAGCCAGGAGGACGTCAAGTTCGGAGGGAGAGAGGGAGGAATAACATGTGACTGGACTGGCCTGTGAGGAAACAGGTTAATGTTGTCATGAAAGTCAGAGAAAGGTCACATGGTTACCAGGAATTTCTCAAGAAAAGAATCTCCAATCATGCGTCGGATGTCATCAGCCACAGTTGGTACCGCCTTCAGCAGAACCTATTAGCCATTACATCATAATGGGCAAGGATGATGTCATAGGTCATACGTGAAGAGCCAGAGAGGCTTGTTTCTGGCAGTCAGAGTGAGCAGTGTTTGCCATTGCATGGAGAAGATGGGGAACCACTTTCAGCTGCCAGGAGAGGGGGCGGGAAGGAGTGAGGTGATAAGGGAGAGAAGGTGAAATGAGATAGTGGAAACAACAAGAGATGGGAGTTGAAGAGGGAGAAAAAACAAAGAGTGGGGAAAAGACGAAAGTTAGCAAAAAAGCTGTGAGCGAAAAATAAGAAAATTTGGAGGAAGATGGTGGTATAATTATATTGCCTCACATCATTCAGTGTGTCTGTGAGCTCTGGACCAGTAGTGGTGATCAGTGAACTGCAGATTTAGAGTGAAATATTACAACTTTAGCTATGCTTGTTTCAGACATTTTAAAGGCATTAGATGATAGTTGAGATATTAATACAAAATCTAATTAATGTACAACTTGCAGACGCAATAATACTAGTACTAGTGACAGACTTACTACAGGCTCATCAGTTAGTGGGTATGAGGCTTCACCTGATGGTTTTGGCTGCCCCGGCCTGCTGGAGGTGGACTGGACTGGGAACTGCATCACATGACACCACCACATGTCATGTGACACATCATGTGACCTCTACCAACCTGCATTCTGATTGGTAAGATGTGGCAGATGACTGTCGGGTAGTTTGAGGAGACCGACTAGTCCAGTCAGTATAGACAGCTGAACCTCTTCACTGACAACTAGCTCCTCCAGAAGACAACCAGCTGGGAGGGATGGAGGAAGAGGGCGAATATATATAGTTGTGTCACTGTTTCATTGAGAATGTATAGGTTAGAGGAAGATAACTAGTTTCGTGCAAATTGTACTGAATATGCACTTTCTTATGTTGGTGCCTACACATCTCCATTCTGTTTGCAGAATGCCAGGCTTTGGGTCTTGGCTTCAAGATGCACAGTTTGTATTACATCACTCTCAACTAGAGATCCATATATTATTATTATTATGAGAGTGTTAACCTTCACGTTGGACACTGGCGTGTGGGCTACGCAGCAACTGCAGTGTTGGTTCCACAATAGCCACACTCACTGCTCCCATGGCAGGCTGGGGAAAGAAGGGGACTATTTGTCTATACTACCACCACTCCAAGCCAAAACATTCACCCAGACAAAAGCCTCATGTGATATGGGTATGATTTTATATACATGCATAAAACGGTCTAATCGTGCACAACCTCAATACATTGAAGTGGTATATATGAGCCTCTTGTTTCGTGCCATGCATGGTTATGTCGACGGTACTAATCCAGTGAGTGTCAGGGAGTGTATATATTAACAGATCAGACCTGGACCAGAGTGAGTGTGTGGGCTGCCATTCTCTGGGCAGCAGGAGAGGAGGAAGACAGCAGACCAATGAGAGCCTTGTACACCTGACTCTGGTAGTGAGGGTTCCCCTGATAGGAGGGGGAGATGAAGGGTAGAGAAAGAAGTACAGAGACTAACAGTGAATAGTTGGTGGAGTAGATTCTGAGCCAATTCCTGAGTCTCTTCAGATGATGAGTGGGCCAGACACTCTGCCACCACCTTCACCGCTACAGAGGGAGGGGGAAGAGGGGATATTCTGGGTGGAATGGGGCAGTCAAAAAGCTTGACGGCTGGTGTGCTGTGACACCTCTTAACACCCCAGGGAGAGTGAAAGTGTCCCTTACTGCATGATGAGCCAATATAATGGACTAATGCATTAGAACAAAGTGTGTTCTGCAGGGAGAGAGGTGTCCTTAATCAGAGGTCTCACTGTACGTGAGGGAGAAGAACTGACCGAAACTCTCACACAGCAGTTCCCTGAACTGCCGACCGCGATCTGCGACAATAGCCAGCAGCCTCAGTCCCCCAGCCTTGTTCTCCTCCCTCCCTCCCCTCACTCCCACCACCTCCAGCACCGTCAGAGCCCCGCCCACCTCCAGGAACTCGGCCAGGAAATGGTTCCTGCGGAGACTCTCTCGCGGAGCGGACGAGACAAGGCACCAGATGCCCACTCACCCGCTAGCAGAGGAGAGGAAGATGCTGATGGCTTTCAGGAGTAGTTTGAGCGGGCCTCGCAGGTAGTTGATGCGGAGCCAGACGGTGAGACGGGCCAGGAAGAGACTCGCACAGTCGGAGAACTGTCGCTCCAGTTCCGGAGCAGTCATGTTAGAACACTGGGAGACGAAGTCACGTAGCATCGCCTGGCGGACGCTGGGACTGCCCTGTGAACAAGAACACACTTATTACAGCTGTTCCCTCTTGCAAACTCCCGCTTACCTTGTCCCACTTCTGCAGAATCCTGCGAACATCGTGAAAAGAAGCCATCCAGACTGAGTTCTAATTAACGCAAACTTTGTTTTGTAGTATCTATGGAAACATGCGCAGTGTTGTACATACTTTATGCGCAGATTCGTACGAGCCACACCCTGTTTTTTGCTGCAGCTATAGGGTGTGTCAGCTCAGCTACAGAGAATCTACTGAACTGCTGCAGTCTCCTTCTCGAGAATGTCGTCGGCGGACGGGGAGAGTGTGTTCGGGCGCGGGAAGACGTTCCGCGGGAAAGGCGTGGACGACTCGTGGAAGAAGATTCAAGAGAGGACCTTCACCAACTGGGCCAACGACCGTCTCCGAGGAAACCTGAAAGTCGCCAAGAGACAAGTGAGCTGTCCTTCCTCTCTCCCTGGAGTGTGTAAAACAGCCCTCCCAGTCCCAGGCCTTCGTCTGTTAGTCGCTTAGCTTTCATCACAGTGGCTGAACTCCACTACATAGTACGTATAGACTATCTCTTTCAAGGCTCCAAAGCAAGTTTCAAAAATGTCAGCTGTTATTCAGGTTTATGTAGTGTTATAGTGCTTCACTTTTAACATATTCTGACTACAGTTGAAGACGCTGGAGGAGGATCTGAAGGACGGGCAGCTGCTCATCGAGCTGGTGAACAGACTGGCAGCCACCGAAGATGCCCAGAGCACCCAAGGCGGCAAGGCCGAGGGCCCCAGAGGTCCAAAGTCCATCGAGAAGTGGGACAAAAATCCTCGCGGAAAGCTCCAGTGCCTCGAGAATATAGGAATGGCTCTCCACTTCTGCGAGTTGCATAACATCAAGCTAGTCAACATTGGTGAGTTGGCAGAAAGAGAAAGAGAGAGAGAGAGGGTGGAAAAGAAGGCAAGAAAGGGTGTGACAGGTTGGGAGGTGTTGACAACCAATTCCTGTGAAATTCATTGCATGACAAGACGTTGTGTGAATCAAATTAGAGCCCCACCCATTTTTTACAACTTCTTGTTTCTCACACCCCTTAGGACGGGGGGACATCTATGATGGGAACATGAAGCTGATTCTCGGACTACTGTGGACACTGATCGGAAAGTACCAGATCAAGATCAGCGGGAAAGGCATAACAACCAAGAAGGCCATGATTGGCTGGATCAACACCGTCATACCCGAGTACGAAGTCTCCAATTTCAACACCGATTGGAACGACGGGCGAGCTGTGTGCGGAATGGTGGACCGCATCCGACCTGGGCTCTGCCCCAACCACTTTGCCCTGGAGCGGAGCCACGGTCTGGAGAACTGCAGACTCGGAATGGACCTCTCGGAACAGCACCTGGACATCCCCAAAGTCCTCACCCCCGAGGACCTCAACAACCCAGAAGTGGACGACCTGAGCATCATGACGTACCTCTCCTACTTCTGCCAGCCGTACAACGCGGTGCTCCTGCAGTGGATCCGCCAGAAGATCCCTCACAGGGGAATCAAGAACCTCTCCAGCGACTGGAACAACGGGATCAACCTTGGAGCACTCACCGAGTCCTGCTTCCCAGGGATCTGCTCCGATTGGGAGGCAATGGACCCGTCCAACGCCATCAAGAACAACGAGAGGATGATCGCACTCATCAAAGAGCGGCTCGGAATCAACTGCCCGGTCAGCGCCGCTGAGCTTGCCGATCCGAAGAATGACGAAATCGTCGTGGCAACCTACCTCCACCACTTCCGAAACGCAAAGCTCCACAACTCCCCAGAGCAGTTTTCCCTCCTCATGCCCCCCCGACAGGCGGCTGCACCATTGTACAGGAGACCTTCACCTTCGAAGTGCAAGTGACACAGGTCACAGGGGAAGACCTGACAAAAGAAATCTCGGTCCAGGCTCACGGTCCAAAATCAGCCTCAGCTGTTTCCCTTCAGCAGAAACCAGAGTCGGGAAATTTGCTGGCTTCTTTCGTCCCCATGGAGGCCGGCAGCTATGACATCATCGCGTCGTACAGTGGAGAGAACATCCAGGGCAGCCCGTTCCAGTTGCAAGTTGCTGACCCAGCAAAGTGCGAGTTCCTGGGGGGACCTCCAGGAACTCTGCAGGTGGGGGTGGTGGAGGAAGTGGTGGTGAAGACGCGAGGAGCCGGCGATGGGAAACTGGGCTGCAGCGTGGACGAACCAGAGAATACGGAGTCGGATGTGGTGGGCAGCTCGCTCGAGGAGAACAGCGAAGACACGTATACCATCAGATTGGAGCCGAAGTGTCTGGGGAAGGTGCAGCTGTTTGTGACATGGGCTGGGAGAGACATCCCCGAGAGTCCGGTCACCATCAACGTCAGCAACGCCGCTCAGTGCAGCATCAGTGGACTGGGTGTTGAGGAGGAGTATGTGGTCGGAGAGCCTGTGAACTTCACCGTCGACACGGCAGGCGCGGGTGAGGGAAACCTTCTGGTGAAGCCTCGCGGAGCCAGCGCGCTGTACACACCCAACATAACCAGCTCCGGTACAGAGCACAGTGTGTCATTCACTCCCTGGGAGGTGGGGCAGCACAAGGTGGAGGTGCTTTGGGAGGGAACCCACGTCCCAGGCAGCCCTGTTGCTCTGGAAATTAGGGCAGCACCTGACGCAAACGCCTGCAGCGCCACAGGCAGCGGGCTGAAGAGAGGGTACGCCGGGCAGCCAAACACCTTCAAGATTCTCTCACCAGAGAAAGGGCTGCTGCTGCAGAAGAAGAAGGGGTTGGAGGTGACGGTCAGCTCCGCGGACGAAACAGTTCCTGTGGAGATCACAGATAATGAAGACACGAGCTACACTGTCACCTACACTCCGCCAAGCGAAGGGCCACATGTAGCCTCCGTCAAATTCTACGAGAAACCGATCATGGGAAGCCCGTTCCAAATCAGTGTTGTCCCCGCAGCCGATGCCTCCAAATGCAAGGCGCATGGTCCGGCATTGCACCCCAACTCCCTCCACATCGCTGGAACTCCACTGGACCTGTTTGTCGACACAAAGGAGGCAGGGACCGGAGAACTGCAGGTGGTGGTGAAGGGACCCAACGACATCAAACCCAAGATCTACCAGGCCGAAGAGAGCGGCATCCACTCCCTGAAGTTTGACGTTCCAGATGCAGGGAAATACTACATCTACGTTTGGTGGTCACAGATGCTCATTCCGGGTGCTCCGTTCAAGATCAAGGTCCACCCAGGTCCAGTGGCAGCCAACGTCAAGGCATACGGCCCGGGGCTTGAGCCGACAGTCAAGGCCGGGGACAAGGGGGAGTTCACCGTGGAAACGAAGAATGCTGGCATCGGGACGCTGACCGTCAGGGTTCACGGGGTGAAGGGGAAGTTCAAAATCGAGGCAAACCCGATTGACGAGTCGAATCCACGCACCCTGCTGGGGCACTACGACCCACAGGAGGGGGGCGATTACATCATTGCAATTCGCTGGTCTGGCGTCCACATTCCAAACAGCCCGTTCAACGTCCACATTCTTGCCAAAGAGAAGGAGAAGAAGAAAAAGACGAAAGATTCGGTAGAGGAGGTAGATGGGGAGGAGCCTGTTGCCAAGGGGAAACCGAGGAAGATGACGAGGGAGGAAATGATGGCGTACCAACAACAGCAAATGCTGATGGCAGGTGGGCGGAGCATGGCCTACATGGCAGCTGGAGGAGCCGTCGCTATGAACAAGAAATACCGCCAGAATCCTTCAATGGCTCCGGCGACCTTTGCCCCCGAAGGACAGCAGCCTAGCAGCAAGACTTCCGACAATAAGAAAGCCGAGAAAAAGAAGGCAAGGAAGATCTAATTAACAATCCTAAAACATATAAACCTTAGTTTTCTGTAGTTGCAACATTTATGTACATACTGTTTTTATCCTGCACTTCTTTTTGTATATATATACCCACTTTTTATAGATTTTTTTTATTACACTCGTTTATGTGTATAATGCCCAAGATGAAAAAAGCTGCTACATGCAAACTAATGGTATCTAAAGGTAGCTCTTTCAGCCCAGATGGTTTTGAAGGGTATTTGTTCAAGCTTCCAAAAAATCCATCGTCCTTCTGCTGATTATTACAAACATAATAGGTCAAGTAATGTAATGCAGTGAAGAAATGATGCGGACACCCACAGCAAGAGCACAATTTAGACCTGTACATGTTTGTGAAACCATTCTGATTGCCACAGAAATATGGGTTAAAATCTTTATGATAATCTCTACGGCAACAAAAGTAAATCCCCTATTATATACAGCCAACACAGCATTATGTACTTCGTTGTAGAGAAAACATGTAGAACAAGTGTATGACTTATTCCAAATAAGTTAATGATACACGTTGTGTAAAGTGCAACTTACTTATTCAGTTAAAGCGTTATATCACAAGGTGCAATTTGTTATTAAGTACTAATAAGATGACATCATAATGAGGGGGAGGAGTCTATTGCCGCTGGCAACACTGCCGTTTGGCTGGTTTTTCCTCCTCCTCTCCTGGCCTGATGGGCTTGCCTCCTGGTATCTCTGGCGTCACTTGCTGGTCATCATTGGCTGTTGATGTCTGACTGACAATATGGTAGATCTCTGGATGAAGAGGGAGAGAGAGGGAGAGAGAGAGAGATAGAGAGAGAGAGAAGAGAGAGAGATGACGAGAAAGGAACGAGAAAGTTTTAAAGGTTGTTTGGAATTCAATTAAGGTGGCAAACAAGTTTGCAAAATGTCTGATTGAATAATATACTCTTCCATTATGGTTTTCGGACAGAAAATTTCTGGAATGGTTGGCCTTTTGTAGATGGCATTCAACTTGCAAGGACGAGGCTCAAAGTGTAAGCTGTTGGTGGTATGAGTTGTGAGTGGTGTTGTCCCAATACCTGTGAGGATGTTTTGGAACGCAGTCTCTACATTCGTTGAGTCCAGGGCCGATGTTTCGATGAAAGACAGAGTGTTTTTCTCTGGAGACAGAGGGAAAGAGAGAGAGAGAGATGGAGAGATGGAGGGAGAGAGAGAGGGAAGGAGAGAGAGATGGAGGTTATATACACGAGTACAGACAGACTGAAACAATCACGCAAAGTAAACAGGGAAGGAGAAAGGCGAGCTAACCTGCGTAAACCTTAGCCTCCTCAGTCGGCACAGCTCTAAGGTGGCGGAGGTCACACTTGTTGCCGACCAACATGATCACAATGTTGGCATCAGCATGGTCGCGCAGTTCCTTCAGCCATCGCTCGACGTTCTCGTAGGTGAGGTGTTTAGCGATGTCATAGACCAGCAGAGCCCCCACAGCTCCACGGTAGTAACTGTGGGAATAACACCGATACATTACATATCCACAGTTATCTATATTATCAATATTACATACATGTATGGATGTGATTTGTATCAATCCGAGGCCAAAATAACCCTCTACTTGAGGTAATGTAGACCTATTACAACACAATATAGGAAGATGTCTCTAGCAAAATGTTGGAATGTTGTGTTGAACCTATGTTGTCCAGTGAAGTGCATTTACACATTTACAAATGTCACTAAATTTAGTAGAAGGGTTGGCATCCATGCTATATTGGACAGCAAATATGAATATCATTAGTGGGTCTCATTTCAGAACCAGATTGGGAATGAAACATGAACCAGCTCCACCTCGTATACCCACTGGGACAGGTGTGGCAGTAGGATGGTACAGTATGTACATGCCATGCTGGACAATTAGACATGGGGAGAGGCTGAGTAAACAGACAGTCACATAGTCAGTCAGCTGTAGCCAACTCTCATTACATGTTGCACAGTCACCCCCACTATCTATGATGTAATGCCATAGAATGGGACTATAGTGATGGGGAAATGAAAACCATCTTCCTGTCTGCTCTAAGAATACCGCTAGAGTAGGTAGAGAGTATGTATAGTCAGGTTCCGTTACTTACGCGCTGGTAATGGCTCTATATCTCTCCTGGCCAGCTGAGAGAGAGAGAGAGAGGAATGATAACAAGAGATGATTGAGGACGAGTATAAACCTGTGTCCCAGATTTGAGCCTTGATTGTCTTGCCGTCCACCTGGATACTGCGGGTGGCAAACTCCACTCCAATGGTGCTCTTGCTCTCCAAGTTGAACTCATTACGTGTGAACCGCGACAAGAGATTGCTCTTGCCAACCCCCGAGTCCCCTATCAGCACCACTGGTGAGGGAGGGAGGAATGGAGGAATTGGGAAGGGAGGAAAAGGGGGGGGAGGGAAAGGAAATACGAGATTGAGAGAAGGGGGGGAGAGGTGGTAGGTGAAGCAGCTGCTAAAAGGACTAATTAGCACAAGGAGCTAAAAAGAAGATTCTAGCAAGTGATTACCTACATAGCTCCCCCCTGCTACTGTTCCACAACTCCCAACAGACAACATATGTAATCCACAGTGTGTTGTCATGTGATGACAATGATAATATACTCACCTTTGAACAGAAAGTCGTATTCGTCGTCCTTGCTGGTCATGGCGGCCCTCTCTGTGGGCGGAAGAAGATAAGTTGCGAAAGACCACACACACTCACTCCGCTGAACGCGCGGATGAGTTTTCAAGTTTTCTTTCTCCTGCCACCAGATAGAATTATGCGCACGACTCACCTGGTTCTAGCGTTAGGCCGTTATCCACTCGTGTATCTCCCTGAAACGGCTGAAGACCCTTCCTCTACTGACTGGGTGGTTTAATTCACCACACCTCACTCGCAGAAAAGGAAGATTGTGGTGCGCTTATGATGACGGTTTCTGAATCACGTGAACCTTTAAGCGCGCATTTTATATGTATCTTTAGCGAGCGCGCATCGTTGTCGATCATGGGGAAGAAAAGGAAGCCGAAGTCCAACAAGGCGAAGGTGAGCGAACACGGACTGGCTCTATCTGAAGACAATTCTCTCTCGTACAGGCGACTGCCTCTGGTGGTAAGACCAGCGCAGCGGGCGAGACGCAGACGGCCACTCCCTCCTCGCCTGGCGGCCCTGCCCTCGACCACGTGGCTCGGAGTATGTAGTGTACAGTGGATAAGGGCCACCTTGAACGTATCCTTTTTTTTCAGAGGTGTCCCTTTAATATGCAAGCATGGGGAAGATTTTGGAGGGTCCTTGTTTTTAAACTTCCACTAGTTCTAGCTATTAGACATTGACACATGTAGTTCTAGCTATTAGATATTGACACATGTAGTTCTAGCTATTAGATATTGACACATGTAGTTCTAGCTATTAGATATTGACACATGTAGTTCTAGCTACTAGATATTGACACATGTAGTTCTAGCTACTAGATATTGACACATGTAGTTCTAGCTATTAGATATTGACACATGTAGTTCTAGCTATTAGATATTGACACATGTAGTTCTAGCTATTAGATATTGACACATGTAGTTCTAGCTATTAGATATTGACACATGTAGTTCTAGCTATTAGATATTGACACATGTAGTTCTAGCTATTAGATATTGACACATGTAGTTCTAGCTATTAGATATTGACACATGTAGTTCTAGCTATTAGATATTGACACATGTAGTTCTAGCTGCACATGTAGTTGTAGCTACACGTGTTGCTGTGTTGCAGAGAGCAGTGTGGAGGAGGCAGAGAAGAAGGGAGAACTGGACTGGCCTGAAGACAAGAAGGCTCAGGAGAGGCTGCTCTCCGCCATAAAACTGAAGACTCTCGCTCCTTTTCTCTTTGGACAGAAAACCCTCTCTCTGGAGGTAGGTGGGGTCAGGGGGTGTGGTCTTATCATGTGACCTGTCATGTGATCCTGTTCTCAGGCCGAGTTGTGTGCTGTGGAGGCAGAACTACTTCCCAGAGATGAGTAAGTTTTCAATTGTCGTGGTTACGGTTGTCATGGAGATGTTTGTAGAGGGGTGTGGCCAGCATTCTTTGAGGAGCGTCAGTGGAGGACTGCAGTGTTAGTGGTTCAAGTTGTCCTGACTTCGTCACACCTCTGTGTAAGTCTCAGAGTTCTGATGTGTGGCGGCCGAGTATCGCGTTCTTGCAATTTCCATCTCACCCTATCACGCTGTTCCTATTCTTATTTCGTCAGGAAACCAACCAATCATTTAGAGACTATCTTTTGAAAGGAGAGTCTGCAGTTTTGAAGGTATGTATATAATCAGTCCTCCTCATTCGCACATTCAACCACTACCTCCTGTTACTACTTCCAGGACACAACTATGGTAGCAAAACTTCTCAAGTTGCACAGGTGAGACAGACCACACCCACTATCCAGGTCATGTGACAGTCATGTGATCATCATGTGCAGTAAGATGATGGCTGAATACACAACCTCTGAAGTGGAGGTCACTTACAAAGTTCTCAGACTACAAGGTACCAAATTTGTTTGTGCAAATTTCTTTGCATCAATAGACCATGAAAACCTTCAATTTTTGAGTCATTGTCTTAGGTCTGGTGATAGCTGCTCGTTACTGCATTCCTATCCTCAGTGATGTCGCTGGGTATGGTGGGCGTGTCCAGCCCCGCCTACCTGTTCCTGGACGGGCTCCAGGAGAAGGAGCAGCTGGTGTTGCCGATCAAGGAGAGAGGAAACTTCAACTTCAAAGATGGCCGTTATCGCGCTGCCATCGGCGACTACACCAGGGCCATCAGAATATCGTTAGTCTCCATGGAAACATCTATACTATATTACAGTTTACCACTTTATTCTCTTCTTCTCCTTCTTTTCCGTTCCATCCGTTCCGTTCTTGTCCGTTTCCACCATCTCACTCCCTCACTCTGTCCCCAGTCCATTCAGTGCAGTCCTCTACAGCAACAGATCTCTTTGTTACCTCAAAAATGGAGACACATGGTGAGCAACTATAACCTCCGTTTTTCCTCCTCCCTCTCTCACTGCCCTTTCCTCCCTATCTTGCGATTTGTCTGTTGGTGTATTTAGTAGAAAATGCCATTCATACTATAGTACTCAACGACTGAAATTTCATACTATAATTATACATTAGCCAATAATGTATTGCGGAGTACTGTAACAGTAACTGATACCTGCTGTTCTCAGGAATGCCTGTGTGGACAGTTTCCGAGCCCTCGTCCTGAAACCAGACTGGGAGAAGCCGTATCATCACTGCAGTGAGGCGTGGCTGGCGCTAGGCAACCACTCCCTGGCTCTCAAGATGAACAACATTGGACGAGACGTCTGCTCCACGACCTCTGAACTCTCTCGACAGAACGAACAAATCCTGGTTGCCATGGAGACTGCAAAGGGGTGAGAAATGTTGTCGTGAATTAAATTAAAATGTAGTCTGATCTTTTCACCTCAGTGGTGAAGCTCCACCCACTGGCCCCTCCCACCAATCACCCTCGGCAACGGGGGAAGAGGGAGTGAAGAAACCTTCGTCGAAGCCTCGTAAGAAGGGAAGAAAGCAGAGGGAGAAAGAGCAAACGTCAACACCAACTAGCTCCGCCCACTCATCAGCAAACAGTAACTGTGAAAAGGTTGCCACAGCAACCACCCAGCATTCCGATAAGTGTGAGAGTGATTTCGATGACATCACGGAGGGGCTGACGGACCACAGTGGCAGGGGGGACCACTCGGGTACCGAAAGGGACGAAGCAGGGCCGAAGAGGGAACCAATAGAGGACCAGAACGAATGGGAGTTCCGCCACGCAATCACTGCCAAGAAGATGTTGAAGCGGCGGCAGAGAGATGATGTCGTCATACCCCTGGCCGGCTCGTCTGGTTCTGAGCCTGACGAGGACTACGTCGGGGCGGTAAGAGGGCTGCCTTGTCCGGAGAGAGAGGCTGCCATGGCTGCGAGGAAGGAAGAGAGAGCCATGGCTGACTTCAGGTAGGTCAGCGAGCTCTCCTTGTTTGCAGGTGTGCACAGACATAATAATAATATGCCTCAAGTGAAAAGGATGATTTGCAAACTCAGTGAGTACGCGGCCGGTGTTTTGAAAGATTTATTACGAGTGTTTAGGTATGCAGTATTCTGATGGAGTTGAAAAAATATTGGAAATGTACCAACCAAAAATGGTAATTAAGCAATCGGTGTGTGTTTGCTGTGCTGTAGGAGAAGGGAGGAGGAGAGAGAGAGGATGAGAGTGGAGAGGAGAGCCATGCGAGCTGCTGAGGAGAACAAGATAGTCCAAACACTCCTCAACCTTGACCCCTACACAAAGTTTCAGGAGCTCCAGGTCCCCACTCTGGATGTCAGTGTCACCACCAGCCAGCTCTTTGACATGATGAAGACTGTTCCTTCCAGACGGGTATATATACACATCCTTCCAATACCTGTTTACTGGTTCCTGTGGGAAATTACACCACTTTGCGTTCAGTTAGGGTGTGCCACATATACATATTTGACAATATTTGGAATCGCCGGTCACTGGACATTGCTAGAATAGGCTGTGATTCATTGCCAGTGTCAATTGATTCTTTGGCACAGTTGTTCTCCACTGGTGACAGAGTTACATAGCTCGCTACTTATTACAATCACAGTCATGTGCCCCAAATAAAATTACCAACGCTCAAATCCCAAAACCTGTTCTTCTGATTGTGTGTGTCAGGGTTCCCAGATGATAGGTGCTCAGTACACAGCTCACAGTGAGGGATGGCGCAGCCTGGAGCCACTCCCTCCTCTCTCTCCTCCCGTTATTCCTAAACCTCCAGCCTCCAAATTGACTGCCACTTTTGATGAGGTATGTGCACCTTCTTTAACCCTCTGCAGACAAAAGGTTGTATTAACCCCTCTCCCACTAGGTGTGGTGTCCACTGCTAGCTGGGGTGGTGGAAACGTCTGACATTATACCTCCACGGATCCACTACGTTGGTAACATGGTTACCAAGTACATTCCTCATTACCCCCCTCATTACCATCGTTATGAGTTCTAATTACATCATCGTTAAGCTGTATCATACTATTGCTCTGCTATGCTGATGGCCGTACAAGTTAACTGGCTTACGCGGCTGTGAGGCATATCTGTCAGAAATCAAATATTATGCAGTGAAACTGCTGGAAGGCCAGTGTAATAAAAAGTGGGCAACATGTTCCAGACAGAAGAGAAGTGGCTCTACCGTGGCTTATATATTATACCAATACACATTGTATTACAGACACCCACTTCATGAATACTAGTCTTGGTATATAGTGGCTCTACCATGGCTTATATATTATACCCATACACATTGTATTACAGACACACACTTCATGAATACTAGTCTTGGTATATAGTGGCTCTATCATGGCTTATATATTATACCCATACACATTGTATTACAGACACCCACTTCATGAATATATACTAGTCTTGGTATATAGTGGCTCTATCATGGCTTATATATTATACCCATACACATTGTATTACAGACACACACTTCATGAATACTAGTCTTGGTATATAGTGGCTCTACCATGGCTTATATATTATACTAGTGGGTCAATCATGGCGTCCACACTGACATCGCAAGACTTTCACTTTCTTCACAGCAGACATGATTTGAAAAAAACCCATGGTATCAAGATAATCTAGCAGTGTAGCTCTCAAGTACAGCGTCATTCAAAGTTCCTTTGAGGACTAGTCTTTCTCCATTTGGTAGGTCAACAACTAGACTGTTGTAGATGAGGCCACGCCCCCAGGGGGTGTGGTTCCGTACGTCCAAACTGACCATTGCACTGGAAGTCTCTCCATGGACCTGGAATAGCAGCTGTAGACCATCTGGAGCCAGAGGAACGAAAGAGAAGAATTGTCGGGTGTATATACAACCTCTCTAACACCAATGGGACAGAAGAAAGTGTCCTTGTTGTCAGTGTATATACAACCTCTCTAACACCAATGGGACAGAAGAAAGTGTCCATGCGTCCTTGTTTCAGGTGTTAGCAAGAAAATATTTTTGGGGAAAGAAAGTGTTTATTAGAGAGGTGTCCTCATTTTTGATAGGGGTTCCATGCACCGTTCCACTCACATGGTTGGAGGGTAAATGGGCTCCAGTTTATTCCATTACTCCGTCTTACTCCACTCCACTTTACTCCACCGGAGTAGGAGTAAGCTCTAAACAGTCCTGGTGTCAGTGACGCTCCAACCATTTGTCTTACCTGATACACCACACAGAGAACGCTGTTACAAAAGTTTCCCGCTATAGTTACCGCAGAGCCCTCACCTCAGAGTTGGCTCTCAACATCGGCAGAACTGATGACAACACTCTGTCGGACCTCGGACTCTTCCATCTCCGGAGGGCGGGGCTTATTGCCATGGAAATCACCCCCAGTGCCACTCCCGAGGAGAACGTAGTTAGCGGTGACCATCTGTCTGTCAGGAGAGAGGAGGGAAATGACTGTCTGGGGTTCCATCATATGCACACCTTTCTTCTCCCTCCATTTTCTTTGCCATCTGTAGGTGACCACGCCCACATAGCCGGATGCTGCATATTACAGACGGAAAGCAGCCACGTGATGCCGTGAGGAGATACGGCGGAGACTTATAGTTATACTCACCAGCAGAGCCGAGAGCAATGGCCGCCAGCCGCCCTCTCCCCACCGTTTGAAGAGGAGAGAGAACCGATAAAAGTTTTGACGTCATCGCGTTCTAACCCTGCCCACTTTGGATGGACGTGGCTATGTGGGCGTGGCTCACACGTGGTTTGCAGTTAGTTTTGCAGGTTACAGCTACTGCAGGGTTGCAGTTCTTTCACCCTCCACTCGCTGTGCAGCCTTCGTTTCCGCTCTCCTCCGCAGCAGCACGCGGGCTGCCCGCGCACCCAGCTTCACACACGCCTGCAGTTGGATCGCAGCAGCTGCACTGCTAGCTTGCGGACAAGAAGTACAGCGGGAATCGCAGAGCTCGGAGATGAAGATGGCGTGGCGGGGCTACCAGTACATGCTGGGAATGGTTCTGCTCGTCCCCACGGCTATCGTGGTCACCATGCTCTGGGCATGGCGCCGCATCAGAGGAGCCCGCGGTGCCATGTTGGAGGGAGGGCCTGCAAGGCAGCTGCGACAGGGAACGAGCGAGGAGTTCACCATTCCCGCCGAGGCAGTGGGCTACGTCATCGGTCGTCAAGGCCAGCGAGTTAGGGAGATGGAGCGAACCAGCGGAGCCAGAATAAGGTTCAAAGACCAACAAGACAATGAGGACAAGGCAAGCTCTGGAGTAATGATTAGCACCAACTATCCAGCTTTTTGCTTGCAAAACTACACCAAAATTCTGAGCAAAATGGTTTACATATGATTGTGTTTGTGTTTCCGCAGATAGTAGTGATCAGTGGATCTACCGAGGCAGTGAAGACTGCCAGTGAGAGGGTGAAGGAGTGTGTGATGAAGGTTGAAGAGAAGGAGACAGATGTGTCTGTGGGTGTGCCTGTTCCAGTCTACGCCATTGGTCGCCTCATTGGCAGAGGAGGAGCTAACATTAGAGCCATTCAGAGAGAGTCTGGTGCTAAGGTCAGTCACTGATCAAGGGCTGAATAGGAAAATTTGTGCATCTGAATATTTGCAACAAAAAAGTCAGACTTCAGGTTCATAAAATAGGCAGAATATTGTATATACAGTAATGTTTGTTGCAGGTGAATGTACCAAGTGATGGTAGTGAGGGAACTGTGGAGTGTGAGGTGGTCGGGAGTGCCGTGGAGATCGACAGAGCCGTCGCCCTGATCCAGGAGAGCATCCAGCAGAGCGAGTTGTCACGACGACGGAAGGCTGTGCACTCCCGCCAGAAGACACGGAAACCAGCCGTAAGATGGAGCGGGAGGGAGAGAGGGAGAAGCTAGCGAGAAAGAGAGAGAGGAAAATATCAGACAAGGTTGCAGTGGGCATTGTCTAAGGGCTGGCAGGTGTATGTTATGAAATGCTCAGAAAGTAGAGTGCATGTCTGGCTGACATGTGCTGACCATGTGTAGGGAAGCTGGCAGTGGTGTGGGAAACATGTGGTCCTGGCTTTATTGTGGTTGTAGCAACCTCTCACTTTCTAGTGGTTGCCTCTCTTTGAGTAAACATTACCTCCTGAACAAAGTTATTCCGTTTCTCTGAAGTCCCTCACTGCCAAGCCTCTGTGATTACTGCAAAAGAAAATTCATAATTGCGTGGAATAAGAATGATTTGCTCAAGAATTTAACTATGGACACCTTGAAATGAGGACACCTCACTAATATGGACACTTTTTCCTCCTGATTAGAGAGGTTTTAATCTCTAAACCACCGCTCCCCCCAGACCACACCCCCTGTTGAGGAGATCCAATTAGTCTACTCCCAACTTCCTCTCTCCAACGACTTCTTCCCTGCCTTTGTGTCGGCAGTGGACAGAGATGGAACTATATGGCTTCAGCGAGTGGACGGAAGTGACTCCGCCCACCTGGACCAGCTCGTCGACACCATGACTAATGACTATTCCAAGTTGGGTCCTGAGGTAATGTGGCAAAGCCATTGTCTGAATTGTGACAGCATTGTCCATACTGTATTGCTGAAATTTTAGCACTGGCATTCACATTCACTTTGTATGATATCTAATGGTGGTAAAATGGTGGTGCGTTGAAAGAGAAAGATGCTCACATTTCAGTCTCATAGTCTACAGCCCACAAGTGGACACTCCTTCAAGATGTTAGCTGCTGTGTCTATTGACTGTAGGAGCTGTTGCCAGGGGAGATAGTGGAAGGGGGTGTGGTCGCTGCTCCGTTCCCTCACGACCAGAACTGGTATCGAGCGAGAGTGGTGGGTGTGGCTGACTCCACCCTTCAACTCCTCTTCCTGGACTTTGGAGACAAGGCCAGTGTGGAGGTTGCCATGGTGAAGAGTCTGCGACCTCAGTACTATCGACTCCCAGTCCAGGCCATTCCCTGCCGGCTCTCCAGGATCCAACCCACAGGTCAGACCACACTACCAGTGGAATCACTACTGTTTGGAGGGAAATTTTAGTGGCAATCGCAAATTCCACTGTTTTATGTCTGAGTGTCGGAATTACCCCGTGTCATGTCACAGGAGGCAGTTGGAGTGATAAAGCCATCGAACTACTAGACTCGCTCTCTTTGTGTGCCACCTGGAAGGTTGTCATGGTGATGGTAGAGGTCAAAGGTGAGGAGAGATCAGAGATCAAGATTGTGGACACCACTACTGACAAGGATATTGATGTTGCCGAGCAACTAGTGGAAGAGGGCATGGCAGAGTGGAGTATGGAGGTATGTATCCGAGACACAGCCTTTTTTGGGGTTAACCCCTATCTGCCTGTGACCGTAGCGACCTTTGGGAGACGGTGAAGACAGCCCGGACTCCAAGGTTGGTTGCCGTGGTGATGATTGTGGTAGTCATGGAGACGGTATGTGCAGGTCCCCGTGACGCTGGAGTGGGTAGATGGGCGGTCTGTTAGTGTGGCTGGCTCCTTCTCTGAGTGGGAGCCTGTCCCCCTCTCTCGGACGTAAGACACACCAGAGGAAACTCATTGAGATTGCAACTTGTAATGTATGGACCATGGAACAATGTGAAGGTTTCCTGCATCAGTAAATGTTCCATAGATCATCATACTAGTGCATTTTGAAGTTGCACGACACCTTTAAAAGTTGTATATACTGTGTATCATGGGCCTAAGCCACGCCCCCTAGTGAGACTCCACCCCCTCTACAGGTCGTCAGGTGTGTACCAAGGGAACCTCAGTCTGCCGTCTGAAGGCTGTTTCCAGTACAAGTTTGTGGTTGATGGAAAATGGACCTACAACCCCAATCAGGTGGCTGACCACTCCATATTTATACACAGCACAACTTTGTATGGGTATGATGAGACCCACCATTGAGGACTTTTGTCAGATGACGTTTGACCGTGAGGTTAAACGAGGTGAACGCATGGGGTGCGCAGGCCACAGCGTTTGGGTGAAATCTGGGGGTTCTGCAGCTGCCTTCAGACGTATGCGCGTGTGTGCTCTGCAGTTGAGTTCCTACACGAAAGTGGGCACGTGCAGTACAGCCATTGTATGTACATAATGTTAGCATTTACAGAGTTAACCTTTTCCCTGCCAGCCAACTGTTGACGATGGTTACGGAGGCTACAACAATGTTCTCAATACTCGTACACTGAGTCTGGAATGGAACACAAACAGCGAGGTTTGCGTGGCAGGGACATTCTCAAACTGGCAGCCTGTTCCCATGACAAAGAAGTGAGACTGTCCCCATTCCATTCCAGTCTGACTCATTCCCTCATTCCACAGGGACGGAGGTAGCTACTTATCGACCCTTGACCTTCCACTGGAGAGCTCCTTTGAATACAAGTTTGTGGTGGATGGCCAGTGGAAGCATAAGGATGACATGGTAATCATCACCTTTTTTGCACGAAGATGTCATAATGTATAAGCCATCATGGATGGGAAAAAGAAATGTTGGAACTCAAATTTTGCAACCTTCAGTTTATCAGTCCAAAGCCAAGCTAAAGTTGTTGCATAGTACAGCAGAACTCTCTAATCCAGACACCATTTATTATTTCACCCACCCTCTCCTCTACAGCCTGTGGTGAACGATCCATTTGGAGGACACAACAACATCCTCAGCACTGGATCTCCACCCCCTTAATCAGTTGCCGTGACAATGTAATCAGTTGCCGTGACGATCTGTGTGCAGTTGTGTGTTCACGTTTTATACTTGTAACTATGACAACATCATAAATACAATGAAACTCTACAATTGGACAATGAAAATACAACTACTGAAGCTCTGTACATTAGTATCTGATCATAAAATATTGAAAATAGAGTCAATTTAAGTGATGTTGCCATAGAGACGCCATGGCAACAACTGGGACAATTGAAGACAGTTCACAGGTCACGAGACGAGAAACACAGCGAGAAAGAGATATTTACTACACAATATACCTGACAGCTGCAGGGGGGGAGAGAGAGGGAGGGTGAAATTACAGTTTGAAGTTGACATTTTTGGGGGGGTTGAGGGGAGTAAGCCTACTTCGAAATATAGTGAAATTTCACACCCAACATTTGCTGGCAAATCATAATCATGCTAATATTCCAGGCCGTGTTTTAAAAAACCTGGTCTTAGTATGGTTCAGATAGTGGTCTAATGTGGTACCTGGTGGTCTAAAAAGCTGGTCTCCGTGGTTCTTTTGGCCTCTTCAGCTGAACCTTTAGTTTCTTGGATCCAATGGAGTATCCGTTCATGACTGAAATGGCACCCTGGGCTGAGGCTGGGTTGTCGTAGCTCACAAACCCTAAAAGGAGGAGAGATATGTACATGTCCCACTAGAGTCTGGAGGTGGAGGAAAGATGTACCAAAACATTTGCTCTGTTGCGTGGCTTTGTCGATGAAGACTTTGGCAGAAATTATGTTTCCAAACTGGACAAACAGGTGGTACAAGTCTGTGTCTCCAAAATCCTGGGTGGTGGAAGATTTCACTCTGTAATCTTACAATAAAGCTAGTAATCTTGCTCTGTAACTTCACAGTAATGCTAGTAATCCTTCTCTGTATTCTTACAGTCAGGCTAGTAATCCTGCTCTGGTAATCTTGCTCTGTATTCTTACGGTCAGGCTAGTAATCTTGGTCTCTATTCTTACAGTCAAGCTAGTAACAATGCCCTGTAATCTCTACAGTAATGCTAGTAATCCTTCTCTGTATTCTTACAGTCAGGCTAGTAATCCTGCTCTGGTATTCTTACAGTGAGGCTAGTAATCTTGGTCTCTATTCTTACAGTCAAGCTAGTAACAATGCCCTGTAATCTCTACAGTCAGGCTAGTAATCTTGCTCAGTAATTTAGAGGACCTGTGGGAGGTGGTAAATGAAGAGGTTGCAGCCTTCAGGTCCCTCCTTCTGGGGTGGGGGTGGAGTTTGGGGTACTCCACCAAACATAGAGCTGTAGGGGTAGGCCGTGTAACCTTGGAGACCAGTAGAGTAAGTTCCTATGGGGCTGGGGGACAAACAACACAGAGTCATGTACTTTAGAGCAAGGATTTGGTGCGATTTAATTACCAACACCAAAGAGGAATATTTCTTTATAAGTATAGATAAGGGGTCCTAGAAAAAGGGAAATTTTGATGTTCCTTTTTCCTTGCACACTTACCTGTGAAGAGGTGAGTGAATGGCCTCAGATGACATTGAGGGGAGGCCATTTGGAGAGAGAGCTGGCATGGAGGGTGGGAGACCTGGGGATGGCAGTCCTGACAGAGAGATAATAGGTGAAATGGTTAACTTTGTAAGGAGCACACAGATTACTGAGGAAGATTACCAGCCTGACTGCTAGCCTGAGCGTAAGATTACAGGACTGATTGTAAGAATACAGAGCAAGATTACTAGCCCAAGTGTAACAATACAGAGCAAGATTACTAGCCTGAGCGCGTAAGGATTACAAGGCAAAATTACAATCTGACGGTAAGCATACAGGCTTGTGCATGAGCTATATCAGGAAAGCATGTACTACAAGGCAAGCCAGTGTCACAGGTGAAAATATACACTGGAAAATAGTTGTGAGTGAAGTGAGTCAACCTGTATCTATAATGGCTGTCAAAAAATTTTCCCTTCATGTCCACTTGCCAGTAGGGTGTTGTTTGACTCACCGACAGGGGTACCAGCAGCAGAGGACCCCAGAGGAGATGCCGTAGCAGCTCCATGATGAGAAGGACTGGTTGGTGACAACAACCCTGTCACTGTCAGTGGTGACGCTGCGTATTGCGTTGCCGCCACTGACTGTTGGGTCAGGCCAGCCACTGCTGCCTGCTGTTGAATCAGCTGTGGGGATGGGAGGAGGGGAGTGGGTGGAGGAGGGAGTAAGGGGAAGTGTGGCTACAATACCTGGGCATAAAGGTAAGGGTACTGAGGAGACAGGAGAGGGAAAGCTGCTGGAGCGATGTTTAGCTGAGCAAACTGCTGCATTGCCTTCTGCATCCTGCGAGCCTGTCTCTCTTTCTCTGTGTCGGCATACTTGACAACCAGTGGAGAGGAAGCTCCCTGCAAAACAAGATCACAGGCCACTCCCTCTACAGTTGTTCCTCTCTCTTACCGCCATGACTTGGCTGCCGTGCATCTTGTTGATGGCCATCTGGGCCTGCTGTCTGTTGGAGAACTTGATGAAAGCACAGCCTTTGCTCTGACCCTCCTTGTCTCGGAGAACTGTAACCTCCTCCACAACTCCGTAAGACTCAAACATGACCCTCACGTCCTCCTCTGTGCATGTCTTGCTCAACATTCCAACAAACACCTTACGCAGCTCTGGAGGACAAAGGAACAGAGAGAGGGTAGCTACAGTTTTTTGTCACTCTCACCAGATCTTGCATCAGATCCTGCTGGTTTTACTTGAAGTGGCCTAGTCATCTATTGAGAGAGTGGATAAGGGTAGGAACTAGTGGAGAGTACACACAGAGAGAGAGGTCTTACCCCTGGTAGCAGGACTTTGTCATGGAGGCCTGCCTGGGCATGTTCTGCACTCGTCTTGTTCACGTACGTGACAAACGCACAGCCTGAAAAACACGGGAAGAGGTCACAGCGGTGATGGGTGTTCAGCTACACTCTAACGAGCTGCTAAAACACAGAAACGAGGAGCGAACACAGCTACTCAGGTACGGGTACCTTTGTGTATCTTGGTGAGCTTGTCTCTGAGGATGCTGAGCTCCTGGAGAGGTCCGTACTGCTCCAGGTAAGGTCTCAGGTCTTTCTCCTCGAACGTCTTGGGGACCTGTCCCACAAACAGTTTCACGGTGTCCGGTTCTTTCTCGACAGGACGCGGCGGTTCCACGGCACCACCGCCAGAGAAATCCTGAACCACGGCCACTGGAGTTAGCTGTTCCATGTTCGGATGGAGGGAGAGGGTATGGGGGCAACGGTGAGTAGCTACTTAGACGACACGACCTGGACGACACGGGACACAGTGACAACCCACTCGGACAGACACACAGCTAGCTAGCCCTGGGCCCTCCTCGCTCACACCATCTCCTGCCACTAGACGAGCGGACAGGGACAAGACAACAGCCAAGAACGTTCGGCGGACAGCGCAATATTATCAGCACCCAAGTAATCACATTCCAAGCATTCCACAGAGCACGTGCCTGGGAATGGTGCGTCACGATTCCATTCCGTCTCCTCCCCCTACTAGTCGGTCCCAGTTCCAGTCTACTGATGCAGCGTCTTGGACGTCTCCCTAGTCTTGGAGTGACTCGTTACTCCTTGGCTCGCTGGGTGGGGGTGTCGGCCACCAGACGAGCGGTGCTGGAGATAAAAGACAAAGAACAGTTCCAGAAACAAGTCCTCGACTCCCCTGACCCCGTCCTTGTCGACTTTCACGCTACGTACGGAGTGCGCATGCGTATAAATCTGCGGCGTTCACAACAAGTTATGCGCGAAGATTTCTCATAGCACTCCCCGAGGGATTTTATCACTTATTACTAACGCATACGTATGTACACATGTATGTGTAGCTGGTGTCCACCATGTCGGTCACTGGGCCCTCTGTTGGAGGAGGTATCGTCAAGGCGTCAGCTGCTGTTGGCCAAAGTTGATATTGACATCCTTCCAGGCATTGCCTTGGACTATGAGGTCTTCATAATAATACCTAATACTGTAGAACTTCTAGTTATTTTATTAGCGGACGCTTTTTGAAGAACACCTTTTCAGTGTGTCGCCTTGTTTTAGAGGTTTCGACACGACTGATGTGTGTGTTTGCAGGTGGATGTGGTGCCAGCAGTGATTGCGGTGAGGGGAGGGGAAGTGGTGGGACAGTTTGTTGGACTCCAAAACAGTCAGTTTCTGGAGCAGTTTGCCTCTGAACTGTTGCAGGAATCAGCTACAGAGTAGTGTCTGCCTCTATCATTTGTAGTTCACCATGTCACTTTCATTACCGAATTGCAGCAAGTTTTACTGTACTGTAGTAAAGAAACATTGTCCAACGTAGCAACGACTACAGAATCGAGCCATGCAATCACGCTCACAAAGAATGGCTTCTCCACTGGTGCCTGGCGCCGCCGGTCCAGTCCGCGGGTCACCACGTACGGGTCGACTGAGGAATGCAGTATCATAAGGCTCACTTTCTCTGTTTCCAGTCAGTTTTAGCGAGGACTGCAGGCGCTGCCGTTGAACAGGTAGCAGGAGAAGAAGAGACCACAGCTCTGCAATGGGTCAGCGCAAGTGACTCCGGTACATTTGCCTGGGTGTACGCGTCGCGCTTTTCTTTTCCTCCAGCATTTCCGACGCCGCAAGAGAGCGGGGAGCTGCCGTCTTGGGCCCTCGCCATCGTCCTGTCTGCCTCCTTCATCTCCCTCCTCTGGTTCGCTGCCCTCGTCCTTCTGGTACGTTGGTTACGACCCCAGCTAGCCCTGCCCATTTTAGTCTGGTCCCCTTGCAGATCGTACATGAAGTTCGCCGTCGTAGGCGCTACTCGTGGGTACCAACTACCCCATCTCCCCCTCCTCCCAAGCGCTTGTCTCCGGCCAGACAGCCTTCCTTCCTGAGTGGGCACCCTCCTCCTTCCATTTCTCCTCACCCTTCACTGGAGGACACCAGCCACACTGGCTCCCAAGAGAAAGACAGACTCCCCACATACAATGGTAAGCTACAGGTCACGTGAGAAAGTCAATTTGGCATGGGAGTCTGCAGGCTTGTTAGACCGTGTTAGTGAGAGTACAGGTGTTTTCAGAGGCGGCTGCCACTCTGGACAACCAAACGACTTGTTTATCATCTCTGTATTTGGGACCCTATTCAGTCGCCATGTACAGAGCAGTGTTGTCGGGCAGAGTGTGGCAGTGATGATCACCTGATGGTTTCCATTGGCTAGCCTTAGTTCTTAGGTTTGGCTCTTAAACAGTAGTGACACAGGGGTAGTAGGGGAGTCTGGGGCTAGGTAGCTAGAGAGTTGTGCCATAATAGACAGAAACTAGAATGCCTGAAACTAGGTAACTTACGGTGTGTTTGTGTTGCTGCAGAGTCGGCCATTGATGTCCCTCAGCTGGATCCATTTGAAGAGGAAGAAGAGAGGCAGTTTAGTCTCCGACTGCACAGAGGAGCTTCCTTCACTAGCATGGCTTCCTCCGCTGCCGGAGAGCCTCCAGTGAGCAAAGGGTTAAACTCTGCACTAGTGGTACTGATGATGTGTGCTGTAGGCAGTGGAGAAGAAAGTGCCTGAGGCTGTGAGTTTCTCCAAACAGACGTCTGTGGACGAGGCAACACCCACAAGCCCCACCCCCTTCACTCGGCTGGGGGCATCCTCTGACTCATCCCGTTCCAGTGGGCGGAGTTCCGATAGCTCCGCCCTCTCTGGCATGGTAAGTATGCCTCAACTCACTTGCCAGCATCACTGTTGTCCACTATGCACACATGTGTCAGGTGTTGAGTCGGCCAGTCACCCTGCGGCAGTTGGGAGCTACCATACGAGAACCTGGGTACCTCGAGGGAGAGTTCAAGGTTCTAAAAACCACACCCCCTTGTTCAACCTAATTAGTCTGTTGTTCTTAATTTTTCAGAAACTCCCCAACCCAATTTTTACACTGGACGACATGCCGCGAGGGACAGAACGCAAGAACAGATACAGCAACGTCTTGCCCTGTCTGTTACCATAATAACCTCTGTTGCAGTAATGAAATTCCATCTCCACAGCTCCAAAGACGAGGGTTCACCTGTCCTTGTTGCCAGGGCAACGACCAAACTCTGATTACATCAATGGCAATTACATCAGAGTAAGCCAGTCATTAGATGGAACTTTAATCAGTGATGTGAATGGCAGGGTTACCAGGGGACTCCGAGGCAGTACATAGCGACGCAGGGACCAATGGAGACAACTGTTGAAGACTTCTGGAGAATGGTTTGGGACAATAACACTGATATCATCGTCATGGCAACAAACTTCACCGAGAGAGGAATTGTGAGTAGAACAGTTCATTATATTATTGGCAACTGATGTGGAATTTGATGGACAGATACAAAGGTGTCATCAGCCTCAGTAATCTTCCTCTGTAATCTTTCTCTGTAATCTTACAGTCAAGCTAGTAATCTTCCTTTGTAATCTTACAGTCTGGCTTGTAATCTTCCTCTGTAATCTTACTGTCAGGCTAGTAAATTTTCACTGTAATCTTACTGTCAGGCCAGTAATCTTGCTCTGTATTCTTACGTAATCTTCCTCTGTAATCTTACTGTCAGGCTAGTAATCTTTCCCTGTAATCTTACTGTCAGGCTAGTAATCTTGCTCTGTATTCTTACAGTCAAGCTAGTAATCTTCCTCTGTAATCTTACAGTCAGGCTAGTGATCTTTCCCTGTAATCTTACTGTCAGGCTAGTAATCTTTGCTCTGTATTCTTACAGTCAGGTTTGTAATCTTCCTCTGTATTCTTACAGTCATACTAGTCATACTAGTATTCTCACAGTCAGACTAGTAATTTTGCTCTGTATTCTTACCGTGAGACTAGTAATTTTCCTGTATACACACTTACTGTCAAGCTATCATCTTAATAAGGCCTTGCTGGTCCTGCAATACAAATGTGTAGACTACAAAGAATCAGATGTTTCTCTATTCACAATTCAGGACAAGTGTTGTCGCTACTGGCCGGCCCAGGGCAGCGAGGGATACGGAGATCTTGAGGTGACTCTCCTCCATCAGACCATGACCGACGCATACAGTGAAAGCACTCTCTCACTCCGCTCTGCTCTCGGAGGAGATGTGAGTCTGACCTCTCACCTCTGACCTCTGACCCAAGTTCTCGGCAACAGGTGCGGACGGTGAGACACTACCGGCTGACATGTTGGCCGAGTCAGGGAGTTCCCAAGGAGACCAAGACGGTGACTGGGTTCCTGAGGGAGGTGAAGATGGCAGACAGTCGTGGACCAGTTGTGGTCCACTGCTCCGCTGGTGTCGGCAGAACTGGTGTTTTGTTGGCCATTGACATCGGCCTGCAGGGAATACTACAGGTAAGATATAAGGTCTTCTGGCTAGAGGTCGCAAAACCTCTCTAATCAGGGGATGCCAGAACTGTTCTTGTGGAAGAAAAGGGGTCCTTATTAGAAAATTTCCTGCCCCATTTTCACTGTATGGTGTAAACTCCTTGTCACAGGGCCACTCAAAGATGGATGTGCTGCGAGTGGTGAGTACTCTGAGACAGGACAGGACTGGCTGTGTCCAGACACGAGACCAGTACCGCTTCATTCACCAGGTGACCTGCTCCTTCTTGAATACTCATATTGACAAAGTTTCACGAATTTCGAAGTATTTTTTCCACCAATACCTTGGATTTGGTTTGCTACACACACCGCCTGCTGTTCTGCGCAAGTTGTTTTTGACTGAGTCTGTTTGTCTCTTTTAATCTGCAAAATACGTCTCTCACTTGTTGCTAGGCTCTGTATGATGTTGCTAAGGAGCTGGGCCCACAGAAAGGACTGCGTCCATTGAAATAATGATTGTTTCATGAGACAGACAGACTGACTGAGTTATGACTTGTGTGTAATTTCACTAAAATGTATAATATAGTAGTTGTGCTGTTATGAGTAGCTTCAGAGACAATTGGATTGAGAATTGAATATTTCACATGTTAATCATGATGTGTTGAAATGTCATCAAGACAGCTATGTATAGTTCAGTGGCCACATTGTCTAATGAGTGCCAACCAGTCCACCATCACGAGCAGCGAAGGAGAAAGATGATGTATGAACTATCTCAGACTGTACCTCCTCATCCACCCCTTCCTCAGACTCATCCTCAAATGTCTGAGTCAGTCTGTACGCCTTCGGTGGAGGGGGCGGGGTGTCTGTTGCCATGGCAACAAGGTCAATCTTGACCTCGCTGACCTCCATCTCCTGGGCAACCACTGAGATAGAGAAAAAGTTATCAGATTTTGAGAATTAGCATTTCAGGTAGCATTATACAGAGAATCTGGACTCATCATTGTCTTCAGGGCTTCTGGCCATAATAATAGAGGAATACAATACCTTTAGTGCTGGTGGTGGTTTGGGCTGTATCCTCACTGCTCACAGCAGAGCCAGCCCTCTTAGAGTGAGGCACCATTCGCCATGACAACCGACCACTGCTCCCTCTAACAAAGGTTGTGGAGGTCGCTGGGTTGCGAGGTGACACCTCTCTAGACCTTCTCTTCTCCTTATCAGCTGAGACCTTGGCTGCCAAGAAAATAATGTTAGTTTACAGGAAAACTAATTACACCACACTCACGTGTTGCAACCTCGTCTTCCTCTTCACGAGAACGGACTTTGACCTCAACAGTCTGTGTTTCCGAGCGGCCGTCAGGGCTGGCAGTCACTCTCAGCCGCGACATTTCCCCACCTGCTCCACTGGTTAGCTGCAAGGAAACGGACCGAAGGGGAGGAGAGGAGTATTAAAGCATAACTAGCCCTACTGCCCATCCACCAGCAAATCAGGCATCCGTAATGATTTGTGACAATCTGGGGTGTGTCTGTTCCATTTTGGACAGCTTTTCAACAAAACATGAAGCAATGGTAGTGAAAGAGCTGAAGAAAAGCTCATTATTTGAGAGGAAACAGCTCTTATGAGGTGGAAAGTGAGGGAAATACGACTCCCTGGGGACCACGACAACTACTCATGTGTACAATTACTCTGCACTGACCTACCACCCTCCCCCCCACACACACCCTCTGAGACGATCTACGGTGGCTGCAACTGACCAGCGGTGAAGTCTCTCTCTTTGCTCTGTGTCTACGACAGCACCAACAGCACAACCCGCACAGCCAAACCTGCACAGCAACACAAGTTTCCTTCAGTCTGCTATACCGCCCAGCGTAACTGTCTAATATAGTGCAGGCTGGATATTACATTCTTCCATTACCACTTCCTAGCAGTTGAGGGTCATCTCACAGCGCTATTGCAGCTATTATGCATGTAGCCGAGCTACTCATACCGAGTCACGCAGCAGTCGAATTTCACTGCAGTACAGCTATAAGCTGTAAGCCTAGGCTGGCAGTGACGCAAATTTCTCATCTCGCACAGCCAGCAGTGGCTCTATCTAGTTAGGTAGACGGACTTACGCAGCAGGATTTGCAGGAGCATGTAGCCATCACGTCCAAAGGTATTATCAGCACTGCAGCACGGAGCATGGCAGGAATGTTGCTATTGGGCGTGCCGTTATTACTATCAAGACACCTCTGTACAAGGAGCACTTCTCTGTTCAGTTTTTATGGAACAGTTGCTAGGAAAGGCTATGGTCATTTGGCTTCTTTGAATACAGAGGTAGTCGGAGAATGTCCGTCTGTACGTTTGTGATGCGGTTAGCTCAATTACATCGGATCGTTCGCCACCCACACGCAGCAGAACTTGCACCAAGGCCAAGTGGAGTAAAAACAGATGATTTATAGTTTGGTGGGAACACAGCCAATTACTACTGTAAAGCTATAATTATCGCTCTATCAATTATTCTGTGATGATTGAGAACTGGGGACGAGGCGCCACTTTGGTCCTGAGCTAGTGGATGAGTTCACAGATATGGCTTCATCTCCTGTCTTCTTTACTCTGTCTGGCTTCTTTCTCTCTCCCCCTTCTCCTCCATTCTCATGATCTTCCTCGGTCTCAGAATGGTACTCGGAGGGAACCTCACTTGTTGGCCCAGATGAGCTCTATAGCCATAGCAACAGCTCTCACAGAATGCCATGTCAGGAAGACACCTACCGGGAACTGGTATTCTATGACTTCTGATGTTTGGTTGATTTCAATGGTCTGCTTCTTCTGATCATCCTTCAGTAACTTCTACAGAATTGAACAGTAATAGTTATACTACTATTTCTCAGGAGTATGTAGCTATGTGGTGTCACACCTACACTACTGTGTTACATTCCTCAAATGCCTCAGTAATGTATCAAGTATCTGTATGCGTGTGCAGAATCTCGACAGCTTCTACACCAACACGAGCCTATTCCAGGAAGTTTCACACGACAGACATCTTGACAGGGACGCCAGTAGAAACACAGGCTACAAACCTTGACCATAGAATATTGACAAGACTTATTCTTACAGATCGCTTGTCATCATCAGGTCTTTGAAAGCATTTTGTCAGGAGTTCGCACTGCAAAGGAAAACAAAAAGCGTATATAGCTAAAGTTGCGTGCGCTACTGTTTACACACGCGCCCGACTCAGTTCTAGAAACTTACACATGATCCGTGCTGGCTGTGTTCGTTACCCATTGTGGTTCTATCTCTTCGTCTAGGCTGAAAAGGAAAGCGCGTCCCCCACTTCACTGAGCATGCGCTGTCAACGGACCAATCAGATATCGCAGCATTTTGGCTGACTGGAAGGATTTTGCGCATGCGCAAATATCCACACACAATACCACAACTACCAACAAGAGCATCTCTTTGTGTCTCCTAGCCGCCAAGTTCTCCTGGCGAGACGTGCTCTGTTGTGCACATCAGAGGAGATGGCGGACGCTAAGCCGAAGGTTCTAATCCTGGGAGGTAGGTATCTGCTAGTGATATATACGTGAGTAGCAGGCGGGAAAGGGGGCGTGTGAGCTGCTCCTTCAGTGTGAGTGGTATTGTGTGCATTGTGTGTGACTAGTTCTGTTGTTTGTGTGTACAGCGAGTGTTTCGTAAGCATTCGTAAGCATTCGTAAGCAGCAGTGTTTCTATGTGTTTGTGCCGTTATACTGCCCTTTCCCTAAACCCAAGTTTTTTTTGTGTGGTATAGTAATGTAAGACGGTGTTTGTGACGGCAGTGGCTAGGCCAGGAGCAAGGTGGCATGCCAAATTCTGACTCCGTGGGTAGCTCAATGAGCCAAAAGTGGTGACACAACACCCTCTACACTAGTCCCTCTCAATGAGAGTGGGCTGGTGACCAGCCAACACTCCTAATTTGCCTAACAAGTTGCCATGTACTGTAATGGTGTGGTCTGCAGGAACTGGCTTTGTGGGGAGACACCTCACCACATTCTTGGTCAGCAATGGGCTCTGCTCCCTGGTGAGGGTGGTCGACAAGGTCCCTCCAGCCACCGCATGGCTGAACGCTGAACACCAGGTGAGCTCATAGTTCCCCCAGGGTCTTAATGTCTGATAAAAGACGGACACCTCTACTTGCTCTGCCCCATACTAATACGTTAGTGTAATATATATCCTCGGAATAAATGAAGGATGCTTTTGGCGTCCCCAAGTTTTCCTTTATTTAGAGGAGCGAAGCTATACCCTTCATCTCTCTAGTAGTGTTACTATACCACTCATTGCAATAGGCAGTGTTTCAACAAGTGGACTTCAAGCAAGCCAATCTTGCCGTTCCTCAAAGTGCTGAGCGAGCATTTTCTACCGAGGACGGACCTTTTGACTACGTCTTCAATTTAGCAGCCGAGACCAAATATGGCCAATCAACTGATGTTAGTTGCGTAATCTAATTATTGTAATCAGTGGCAATGGTGATGAGGTAATGCAGGTGTACAAGGAGAGGGTGTTGGATGTGGCTGTGAACTGTGGGAGGGAGGCCTGCAGAACTGGAGTCAAGAGATTTGTCCACATGTCAACTGCTCAGGTCTATGACTGTGACAAGGTGAGGGAGGAGGGGGGGTGTGTATTGGATACCAACTCTCACCATTTCAGATTGTGAGTCACGAGGGAAGCCGGCTGCAACCCTGGACGACTCTAGCACAGTTCCATCTGAAGGCAGAACAGGAGCTGGAGAAGATTGATGGGTGAGTGGTCTGTACCTACACTTCAGTGGCTGTGTTCTGCTTAGCCTCAGAATACTGTAGAGAAGAACTTCCGAGAAACGTTTGCAGTTATTAGCTGTCTGCCCGCAAATAATTTTGGAGGCATTTTGAATTTGGGAGTGACTGTTTGTGAAAACGTTTTCCATGAAATTTTCATTTGAAAACACGGAAGTTTTCCATCGACAGTGACCTGCTGTTGAGGGGAATTTGTAGCATGTAAAATCTCACTCTTGCTACAGACTGCCTTATTTGGTGCTGAGACCGGCTGTCATTTATGGAGTCGGTGATCTTCAAGGCCTCGGTAAGTTCGTATGTAGGGAGTATTGGCCACACCCACTGACCTCTGACCCCCAGCTCCCCGACTCATTGTTGGAGCAGTGTACCGAGAACTGGGGGAGAAGATGAAGGTACGGTACATACTATTGCAGAATGCATTGGAACTCCATTCTAAGGATACCTCTGATTAATGAAGAGGAACCTTCTTCTCTTCCCCGAGAACTCTTCTTGTGACTCTGTAAATATGGAGCCCTCACCAATAAGGAGACACTTTCTTCTGTCCCATTAGTGGAGGGGCTCCATTGTAATAAAGTGTATTACACAAACTTATGAGGGTCAAAACCTTGACTGTTTTGAAGGCCGCACAGTTTTGTAAAGAGACAGATAGTCATAGTTTCCTATGTATAGTATAATACTCAGCCAACATGTATAGTATAATACTCAGCCAACATGTACTGGCAGTTGCTGTGGACGAAAAGTCTGCACATCAATACTGTCCATGTGCGAGACGTTGTGAGGGCACTGTGGCATCTCCGTGACAACGGGGAGGTTGGCCAGGTGTACAACATCGTTGACAAGGGGAATACAAGTGAGGAAGCCCCTGTCAAATGACAGAGATAACGATGTTCCTCCATCCAGCCCAGGGAACTATCTCAACATTAGTTAGCTCTCTGTTTAAAATAGAGCATGACTACTTTGGTACCATGATGTCCAACCTGGCCAAGGTGAGAGGGAGGAGACGAGAGAAGTGAACTGTTTCCTCTCCCTCTGTCTCCAGCTCCACATGTCAGGAGCCACGGAAGAGTCGAATGAGAAGCACTTGGGTCCCTGGTCGGCTGCCTGCCACCGAGACAACATTTCCAACACTCCTCTCAGTCCTTACATGGACCAGGAACTCCTCTACAACAGGTTTTACTCTCAGCATTACATCATCATTATGTCATACTTTTAATAGACATCTCCATATTGATGCGGCAAAGCTGGAAGGTACAGGGTTCAAGTGTGAGGTTCCTGGAGTAACAGTTCCTCTTCTGAGAGAGGTGGGTGTGGTCCCCACTGGAAGGGGTGTGGTTTCCAGTGGAGGGGTGTCGTTTACTTAGCTTCCTGTTCTGCAGGTAGTTGAAGATTTTGTGGCCAGTGGGCTTTTTCCACCGTCTCTCATTCCCAGTCAAAACTGACCACCTCATTATAATAGTAACCTATAGCTAGTGTGTGTCTCTGTGTGTTTTTTAGCCGACAATCAAACCTGACAATCACATGGACTCCTGTGTACAGAGCCTGGTAGAGATGCATTTGTTGTAGCACACTTGTGTTTGGTCACTTCGATGTCACAGCATTCCTTGCTTCAATAAAACTTTGATCAAAGTATGTGGGCTGGAATTTAGCTAGTTGCTAGACTTTTTTCTTTAGGGGATCATATCTATCAAACACAATATTGACAAACACAACACATAGAGATTTATGTCTGTTCTCCTCAGATTGTGTAGGCCTAGCTAAATGAACCAGCACAAACGGCCAGTGCGACCAGTAGGCCAATTATTGGGTATGTCGCTAAAGACCCGGAGACACGGTCCGCCCCTCCAGGCTCGTACAGAGTGTAGTTGCAGAGCTCCGGCCGCCCCACTCCAGTCGCCCCCAGGAGAGCGTCCAAACCCGTGTTGCCGTCCACTTTGCAGCTGAGGAAAAAGTAATGGAGGGGTGCGGCGGCCGTGCAGCACCCGACGTCCTCCGTGAGCCTGCGCAGCTCGCTGGCGCACTGCGAGCCCGAGCCGAACTCCGTCTCCGTACCTTCACAGCAGGCCGTCTTGGCAGCTGACCCATCGTTCAAGCGTAAAACGGCATTAGTGCAAGGGCGCATTTCGCCGTCGTCCATTGTCACGTTGCCGCAGAGTCCCGCGTAGACGATGTCCGCGTTGCTCTGGGAGGTGCAGCCCACCAGTACATCGTAAAATAGCTCTCTTGCTAGCTTAGTCGCGGGGCATATCAAGCCCTGGATGAAAGATACAGTGCCGATGCTATTCTGAGACTCTGTGAGACAGGCTGTGGTGCTCTTTTCGCATTCGGCTGCAATGCGGTCGATGTTGAGAGTGACGGTAGAGCACTTCTGTTCCGTTTGTCGTTTGACAAGTCTTTCCGTATCCCTTCCCTCCACTAGGGCGAGCGAGAACAGCGCTAGAATTACCAAACTGGAACCCTGAATGCAACTCATGATAATCTCAGTTCTGCAAACGATGATCGCGCGATCAATAATTGCAAGAGCGCGTGTGTATATACACGCGCGTCGTGCGAGGTAGGTGGGGCCGGGGAGTTGCAGAAGCACGGACGCACCGCAGCGATCCAAAGCAACATTAGATACACCACCATGCGAGGTCCTGCACTGGTAAGTATCAAAATGTCGTATTAATCGATCATGGTAGTACTCCGACTACAGTTCAGCGATGCCGGTGTATCGGATGTGCTATTGATGATAGTGGCGGCTTGTGTGGCGGTTCTGCACGGAGCAGTGCTACCTGCAGCCATGTTTGTGTTCGGTCTTCTCACCAACGCCTTCGTCAACCAGTATTCCTCTGCACAGCTGGCTAACTATGAACTAGAGTTTGATCCTCTGGAATACATTTCAATGGGTCGTTTTGCTGCTGTTGATGTTAGAGTTATTGTGACTGGCTTCATCAACTTTACCAACATCACAGGGGGCGTGGTCAACTGTAGCGACAGCTACGAACTCCTCCCCTTCAATCAGTCGTTTGACGATATCCTGCAGGTGGGCGTCACCCGTCTCGCCCGTTGCCTTGACAACCCCACCTTTCTTTCCCTCGTAAACCGCTACACTGTGGTTTTTGTTGGATTGGGTGTGGCATCATGGTTGCTAGGCGGGGCGCACGTGTCTCTGTTCCGGTTGTCGGGGGTGTGGCAGGTGAGGCGGTTGCGCTCTCGTCTCTTCTCCTCTCTCTTGCAACAAGAAGCTGGCTGGTTTGATGCCACACCCCCTGGGGAGGTGGTGTCCAGGATTACTGAGTGAGTTCAGTGAATGAGGGTAAACCTTGGGGACATCTGTGTCCTGTATTATGAGGTAATAACTATGATTGCAGGGATGTTGGTAAGGTGGAGGAAGGACTAGGAGAAAAACAGGGGTTGCTACTACAGTGGATGGCTACCCTGGTTGCCGGGGTGATAGTCTCACTGTACACTGAGTGGAGACTGACACTGCTGATAGCGTTTGCTGGTCTCCTCATCGCTGCCTCTACAGCTCTCCTCTCTGTGGTTAGGATTCTATCTCTCATGGGTGTCCCATTACTATAGTATGGAAGGATATTACAATTCAGTGCCCTATTACACATGTGATGTAACAGTTTGTCCCAACGGGCTTGGTGTGTCATTGCCTTTGTTGTTGTATTGTGTTGAAGATCCAAACCCCTTCCAGCTGAGGTGCCCTTGTCAGCCAAGACAGCAGTTGATTCCCACTCAGGGGAGCTCTTCAAATAAGATGTAGATGACTAGTTCAGTGTGCCTTTGTTACCTGCACACATAGCAAATGGCTTCCATATTCAACACCATCAGTTGGCAGCAGAGGAAGTTTTTCCCACAATGTTTGCACACAATGTGATGAAGTGTGCAATGTAATCATGACACCTGCAAAACTTGTTTTGTAAAGAGTTCCTGTGTCCTCAGGTAACCACCTTCACCACCTCTCACGCTCTTTCTCTCTCTGCTACTGCCTCTGCCCTCGCTGAAGAGGCCCTCGCTGCCGTAGCAACAGTAAAGGCATTCTGTGCGGAGGAGGAAGAGACAAAACGGTGAGTGAATTTTAGGAATGTGATAACTAGCCAGGGGATAATGGTGTGGCCACAGCTACAGTGAAGCATTACATGGAGTGCGGTGGTACGGGAGAATAGTGGGTGTGGTCAGGGGGTGGAGTTTGGGTGTGGTCCAGCTCCTGGTCTTCAGTTGCTATGCCAGCTCGCTGTGGCTGGGGGCATTCCTGGTTCAGGAAGAGCTGATTCAAGCAGGAGAGTTTGTCACCGTGAGCTTCCTGTTGCCTTGGTTACCTCAGTCCACCGGTGCCATTGCTACAGGTGTTCTTTGCAGTGCTACTGGTGGGTGTGTCAGTAGGTCAGGCCCTGCCCCACCTTCAGATACTGGTGTCTGCTAATGCAGCTGGCAAGAGACTGCAAGACATTGTGCAGAGGGTACGTTATCAGCGAGTCAAGCATACCCACCTGTAGTTGTCTGAATCTTGCAGTATTTTGTGTGACCTGAATGTGCACTTGTACGTAGTATGCTTCAAAACACTCTTGTGTGTTTGTTCGGGAGACGTTGACATGCAGAATGTAACCATGAATCACTTTTCCACCTTCCGTTCCCAGCCTGGTAATTTGTGATGACAGTCCACCTCCCCACAGGTTCCGCTTGTTGCCTGTTCCACTAATGAGGGGGTGTGGCCAGAAACGGAGCTCCAACCCTCAGTCCAGTTCCGGAATGTCACCTTCTCATATCCAACTCGACCCCAGGAACTGGTATTACTAGATTAGTTTGCCCACCAGTCAACTCCATGGATCAATGTACAGCTACACTAATGTTTAGAAACATCAATACTCAGATTCAAGACGCCACTGCTCATTATTAGCACTTCTGACTAGACTCCATATGACTATTCACGTTGCCGCGATTTTCATGCAAGAAAACATAAAGCACTGAGGCCGGGATACGAATTTGGGTCCTGTGCGCCACCCCTTCACTAGCTAGTGCAACCAAAGTAGTACTGCGTCACACATCACTACGTCTCTCCCTCTGTGCAGGTGTTGAAGGGGGTGAATGTGTCCATAGCTTCAGGACAGACGGTAGCTATTGTTGGGTCCACTGGCTCTGGGAAATCCACAATGGGACATCTTCTCACTCGACTCTATGATGTCACCCAGGGAGATGTAAGTACTGTCACATGATCCTGGTCTCCTGTCATGTGAGCTCTGTCTCAGGTGATGGTTGGAGGAGTCGACGTCCGCCAACTGTCCACGGAGAGACTACGAGAACAAGTGGGTGTGGTCAGTCAGGACCCCGCCCTCTTCCAGACCTCCATAGCAGAGAACATTGGACTGGGCTCAGGTGGTGTGTCTCCACCAGAGTCCATTGTTGCCGCGGCAACTGCAGCTAATGCCCATGACTTCATCACCAAACTACCCCAGGTCTGAAACCCCGCCCACTGTCTTAAAGACTCCACCCACTTGTCTGTCACACTCCACCTACTTTTGTTGGTTTTCCTCACATGGTGTTAGTTGTATACTGTAAGTCTGTGTCCTTGGTGGTGGTAGGCTCAATTAACCCTCAGTATATAAACATGCTCAGCGAGGGTTACAGTACTTGCTGAGTATGTCTGTCTGTCTGTCGTTCTGTCTAGTACCACCACACGAAGATGGACGGCTGGCCCAAAATATTTTCAACCTTAGACTTTATTGTTTTGCCTAAAACAATCTATGAATAAGTAAAAAGGTTTGCACTTTAGTGTTGTTTTATATAATTATGGAGGCTGGCCCAAACTTTTTTCAACCTTAGACTTTATTGTTTTTCCATACATGAGTTGCATAACATTCAGTTGTCTTTTTTTGTGCATGCCCAGTATCGGATTGCACCGCTCATCCATAGACATGTGTCTGGAGAGATGGAGGCTGGCCCAAATTGTTTTCAACCTTAGAATTATTTTTTCACCTAAAACAATCCATGGATGAGTTTAAATGGTGCAAGACAATCAGTCTATATATATTTTTTATGCATGGTCAGTATTTTTTGGATTGCCCAATGTACTTAACCATAATTATTTGGTGTGTACATTATTTTTTGCTCCATCAGAAGGCTGCATAAAATAAGCATAATTATTCAAGAGAGAGATGTCGGGCTGGGCATTTTTTTTCAACCACTAGAATTTATTATTTTGCCCATAACATGCCACTGATAAGTTGAAATGGTGTATGACATTCAACATTTTTTACCTCCCCTTCCTCAGGGCTACGACACTGTGGTGGGCTCTCGAGGGAGCCAGCTGTCTGGAGGACAGAGACAGAGGGTTGCCATAGCGAGGGCTCTGGTGAGGAACCCCAAGATCCTCCTCCTGGACGAAGCCACCTCGGCCCTGGACACAGAGAGTGAGAGACTGGTTCAGGAGGCTCTGGACAAGGCCAGGGAGGGCCGGACCACCATCATCATCGCTCACAGGTCTCTTGTGTATAGTAGTCTTAGCAGGTGTGTTGATTGGTGGGTGTGATATCTGCAGATTATCAACTGTCCGTCATGCCGATACCATCATCGTCATGGAGAAAGGGGGTGTGGCAGAGATTGGGTCACATGATGAGCTCTTGAAGAAAGTGGGAGTATATTATAACTTGGTGCATGCTCAGGTCAGTTTTGTATCTCTTCATTGCATGGCACGATGGTTTCATGCTTTCAGCTGACAGAGGAGGTTGGAGAAGGAGAGGGAGATGGAGTGGCAGAGAAGGGAATGATCCCTCAGTCTCCTCGCACACCGACCAGTCCAGTCCTCAGTGCAATCGCTGGTCAGTCATCTTCACCAAACAGCTAACCCCTTCTCATGGAGTTGCTATAACTACTCAGCCTGCATGGTAGTCATGGTGATTATCTCTTGTGGCTTACATGTAAGAGAGTAGGGGAGGGGGCCAAAAGAAAACATTGGATGGGATGTGTGTCAGGTGATGGTGGTCTGTTTGGATGTGCTTCAGTGGGTGTGTAAAAGGCTGCAATACAGTTCTGATGTTTCAAGTATTATTATATCTTTACAGTGCTGATGTCGATCCAGTAAGCAGTGTCTATTGTATCATTTCTAGAGCCTCACCAGGCAGGAGAGGAGATTGAGGAGAAGAAGACTTCGTCCTTATCCTGGTTCTCCGTTCTTCGACTTTCAGTACCTGAGTGGCCTTTGCTGGTTGCTGGGGTAACGGCAGCTGGAATCCAGGGAGCAGTGTTTCCCTCTTTTTCCATCTTCTTTGGCAGAGCCTTGGAGGCCTTCACCTTCCCCTTCAACCAAGTGAGGCATCAGTTCACCCACCTCCCCCCCCCTTCCTCTTCTCCCTCCTCAATTAGGTTCTTGAGCTCACTCACCAGTGGGCGTGGCTCTTTCTAGTCCTGGGCTTTGTGTCTGCAGTTTCCATGGTGATCAAGAATGTTGCATTCTCGCTGGCGGGAGAGCAGTTGACGTACAGACTGAGGTGCCATGGTTTCTCGCGGGCTCTGAGGCACCAACTCAGCTGGTTTGACGGCCCATCATCAACAGGTGTGGCAGGCCTGCTCGCCTCCTCCCCTCCACGGGTGCAGGGAGTTAGTTCTCCACTGGTTACCCTGGCAACCTAGCACACTTGACCCGCCCACAGGTCATGCTAGCTATTAGCTCTCTCACTGAAGTGGGCGTCGGCCTCGCTGCGGCTCTTGTGATCTCCCTCGTGTCGTCATGGGTACTGGCTCTGGTGGTTATGGCATTCATCCCCCTCCTGCTGCTAGGGGGACTGGTACAAGTGAGGTTGCTAAGGAGTAGAGTGAGCACTGAGTCTGCCAGTTCCCAGGTATATACTTACCTAGTCTGGTGGGGCTACACCCTCAAGCAGTGCGAGGGTCCAGCGTCAAGCTTGACAGCGATTTGTAGTGATGACATAATACCCAAAGTTGCTTATGTCTGTGACATAAATTTACGAAGAGATAAGTGTCAGTAGCCATTGCACTAATGAGGGGTGGAGCCTATAACATGACGTTGTACAATTTTATTGGGCTGCAAAAATTGTACAAATCGCGATAAAGTTGGACGCCAGACCCTTGCGCTAGCTGCTCGCGGTATGTCAGACATTGTTCTTCCTCTCCTCCTCTTGTTCTTCCTTCGTCACTGTGTCATGTGTGTCACGGGTCAGATACTGCAAGAGACTGTGGTGAACATGAGGACAGTGCAGCTGTTTGGACTGCAGCACACATTCCTCTCCAGATACACCTCAGCTCTTGTCCTCTCACTCAGGTAAGTTCCACATCTCCGAAAAGGAGGACCAGACTCCAATACATGAATAAAGGCACTGTTCGAGGTGTCTCTTATTAAGTATCTCTCCATCTCTCACAGGAAGAAGACCATAGAAGCCATTGGTGTTGGTGCAGTTTACGGCTTCACCAACTTCATCTTGTTGGTTGCTTATGCCGTCACCTTCCGGTTTGCAGCCTACCTGCTGACACTGCATGTTGACCACACCCTCTACGCCAATTTTGACGAAGTCTTCACAGTCTTCCTTGCCATCATCCTGGGCTCTCTTGCTGCCGGGCAAGCCAGCACTGCGTTGCCCCTGGCAACACAGGCTACTGCAGCAGCAAGCAAGCTGGAGGTCATCGTGGCCCCCCAGCAGGAGGGAGAAGAGTGGGAGGGGAAGGAGTTGGTAAGTCGTCTCACTAGTCTGTCCCTGTCTCATCGGGACCGTTGATTACTTCCAGGAGGAAGTGAACGGGAAAGTGGGTGTGGTCAACGTCTCGTTCTCGTTCCCGTCAAGACCGGCGGTGCGAGTGTTGTCACGACTGTCGGTTACCATGGCAGCAGGAGAGAGCATGGCACTGGTGGGTCCCAGTGGAGCTGGAAAGTCGACAGTTCTTTCTCTGCTGGAGAGGTTCTACAGGCCCTGCTCCGGACAACTGACTCTGGACGACATTGATATCTCTGTTAGTGACGCAGTCTAATCTCTGATATAGGACCCTCCAACCTCTCTATAAAGGACACTGATTGTACTAGTGTAATATTACCTCCAAGAAAGGGAATAAAGGACTCCCTACCCTGTAAAATTGGAGGAGAAATGGATTTCCTGTGTTCCACAGACACTGGGACTGCGATGGTGGAGGAGACAGCTGGGCTGGGTCCCTCAAGATGTTGTCCTCTTCAACCGCAGCATTGCTGACAACATTGCATTTGGCTGTGAAGCAGGAGAGAAGGAGATAGTTGCTGCGGCAACTGCAGCTAATGCCCATGACTTCATCACCCAACTACCCCAGGTCTGAAACCCCGCCTACTGTAGTAAAGACTCCGCCCACTTGTCACATTCTACATTCTGTAATAGTTGGTTGGAGGAAAGACTATATATCAGTCTGTAGTCTTACTGTCAAACATATTCTTACAGTCAGACTAGTGATTCTCCTCCTTTTACGGTCAGGCTAGTAATTATTGCTGTGTAATCTTACTATCAAGCAAGTAATCTCTAGAGTCAGGCTAGTAATCTTGCTCAGTAATCTAGAGGACCTGTGGGAGGTGGTAAATGCAGCCTTCAGTCCCTCCTTCTGAGGTGGGGGTGGAGTTTGGGGTACTCCACCACTAGGGGTATATAGGCAGTGTAACCTTGGCAATAAGTTTCTATGGGGCTGGAGGAAAGTCGAGATGCACACCAGACTAATAGAGAAGCACAATGTGATACAAACTGAACTTACATAAAGTTCCACACCACTCCCCATTCCTCAGGGCTACGACACTGTGGTGGGCTCTCGAGGGAGCCAGCTGTCTGGAGGACAGAGACAGAGGGTTGCCATAGCGAGGGCTCTGGTGAGGAACCCCAAGATCCTCCTCCTGGACGAAGCCACCTCGGCCCTGGACACAGAGAGTGAGAGACTGGTTCAGGAGGCTCTGGACAAGGCCAGGGAGGGCCGGACCACCATCATCATCGCTCACAGACTCTCAACGGTTGCTAGGGCTAATCATATTGCTGTCCTCCGGTCTGGGCAGTTGGTTGAAGAAGGCAGCCATAGTCAGTTGCAACAGCGACAAGGCCTGTACTGGAGACTGCTACAAACCAACCAATAATGACGCTATGAAATTGATTGACATGGGACTCTGACCACATTTATAAATAGTTGTATATTATACCACTCTGATTCAATTAATGTCACTCTGATTCAATTAATGTCACTCTGATTTTGAGAAAGTCTATTATATATAAATACACTCACATTCATTTGTGTCCTGCGCTTCTTATCATTAGTTGTTCATTGATAATAATTCCATAAAACATGTTAATAACCTGTGTTCATCAGTGAGGGGAGGGGTGCCAGGTGTCGGCTGAGGGCAGTACAAAAAGTGAAAAAAATCAAATGAAGTGATACAAAATAATATCAGAATGACGGCTGGCAGGAACTTAATCGGAGAAATGGGTGTGGTCAGTGGGCGGAGCTAGTCAGAGGGGAGGAACTCATGCATTCGGAACTTGTCCCGGACTAGAGGTCTTACATCATCCTGAATACCCAGAGTGGTCACATGACAATCACATGGCACAAGACTTGCCTCTCCCAGGAGGGAGTGGAGGAAAGGGAGGAGGGAGAGGAGCTCATTGTCAGCCTCGTCCGAGAACCAGCTCTCTATTGGAACTCCATTGGAGAGCTATATAGAGTCATGTGACAGTCACATGACAGCAACAGGCAGTAGTATACAGTGAATATGGGACACCTTGGGTCATGCATAATTAGGTGTTTATTACTTCCTTTTGGAGGTATACATTAATATTATTATGGAGCAGAACAAGTGTCACAGGTCTTTGTTAGGGTTTCCACTGTCATAATTTAGACTACGGTAACACGCAATTGACCAATCAGATTGCGAGTTTAGCGGCGACTAATTAACCCTCGGTGCGCATGCGCAGCGAGGGTTACAGTACTTGGGTCTGTGTCTGTGTGTCTGTTACTCTATATCTCACTCCTCGAACGTCTGTTCGTCCCAGGAACGATACCATCTACCCAACGGGAGACGAAGGTCAGAAAAAAAAGGCGGTTTTCTCTGAAAATGCTCCGTTGCAAAGCTAGAGCACGAAAAAGCCAATATGCAATACGGACGGGACGGCTTACCACATTCGGATCGATCCGCGTGCTCTGCATACTTCGGATGCACCAGAAGATGCAACGCAGGGCGTGTATCGCCTCTCGCATGCTATCTAGTAGTGTAGTTAGCCCGCGTCAGACTCTGCGCGAGCTGGCAAGAGACCACGAGTAACAGCTAAAACTAAACCCAGCCCATCAATTAGTGGTATGGCGCATGCGTTTACTTACGCGTGCGCGTCACAGTGCGCCGAGGGTTTGCACTTCAGTGCTTTTCATTTACACTGTTCCCATTCAAGTAATGGTGGTGGTCTGATGGATAAGCACCCCCTCTCTTGATCGTGAGGTCCCTGGTTCGATCCCGGGTGTGTATGCCTTTTTTACAATGATGTAATAGGAGTGTTGGTATATATGGAACGTTTTTTTCATCACATCTCCAGGC